TTAATTAGATGGCGTCTAGACTAAAATACACAAGAAACGATGAAACATATTATCGAGCCCATGCCTTTTAAATTGTTTATTTTATACTTTCTATAACTTGGATATATGTTTTAGTATGCTATAAATCAAATATGAGAATTTGAGTCAAATCGATGAACATGAATTTGACAACCAATGTCCCTTTAAATGAATCTAATTGGCAGTAATGTTGAGTATTTAGTTGTCTTGTGACTTCTGCTATGTAGTCTAGCCTGTCTAAAATAACACAATTTGAATTGTTATCTGCCTTTTTTATTACTATTGTTTCATCATTTTTCAAATTGCGTACTTGCTATTCTTTCGCCCTTAGTAAGATTGTTTTTTTTTTTATTTATTAGAAAAGATAATTCAAGCTTTGTTAAATTGATATAATTTTCCGACGTATGGCACGTAGAAGCAGGTTTATATCCTGTATTGCTATGAAATGGATGAAGGTCATTTTTGTCGAGCCTTCGACTTTTGTCGAAAAGCGAGACATAGCGATCCTACATTCCGTCGTCGGCGGCGTCCACAAATATTCACTCTGTGGTTAAAGTTTTTGAAATTTTAATAACTTTCTTAAACTATCCTGGATTTCTGCCAAACTTGGACAGAAGCTTGTTATGATCATAAGATGGTATCCAGAAGTTAATTTAGTAAAAAAAAAAATCAATTTTTTCCGTATTTTACTTATAAATGGACTTAGTTTTTCTGCCAGGAAATATAACATTCACTCTGTGGTTAAAGTTTTTAAAATTTTAATAACTTTCTTAAACTATCCTGGATTTGTACCAAACTTGGACAGACGCGTGTTTATGATCAAAAGCTGGTATCTTGAAGGAAATTTTGTTAAAATTTTGTACCTGTTTTTCTGTATTTTACTTATAAATGGACTTAGTTTTTCTTCCAGTTAACATTACATACAGTCTGCAGTTAAAGTTTTTAAAACATTTATTAGATTCATAAACTATCCTGGATTTTTACCAAACTTGGACAGAAGCTTCTTACTATCAAAAGATAGTATCGAGAGGAATATTTTTATTAATTTTTTTCCTCATATTTGTTGAGCCTGCGATTAACAGCAAAAGTAGGCGAGACACTGGGTTCCGCGGAACCCTTACAAATTTTTTTCTTCATGACTGAACATATATCGACATCGCAGTTGTCTATCAAATTCACTGTAGTCTTTTAGTATAGACATTTTTGCTTGATGAATTGATAAATTTCAAGCCTTTTGCCAACAGGATATATTCCTGATTTGATAATTTGCGTTTTAATAGATTAACTATACATGCTTTTTTGCATGTGCAGCTCTTTGCTGCATATTATATTCATTCCGTTCTTTTTTTATTGTAAAATTGGATTTTTTGCTTCTTAGCATTTTTATTAAAACGACGTGTCATCTGTGAGTTCACATTGGGTGATTCTCTTAGCTACGTGCCTTTGATGAGCTCACATTTGGTGGCTCACGCTTATCTCTACAGTAACATTTTATTTGTTACAAACGCTTAGTTATATATTGGTTATTCCAGAGACATGTAGATTAAAATTTAAAGGTCCCTGGATAATTCTGAATGATTAACTTTTCTCTGTGAAAAAGTCCACATCCTTGACATCCATACTACAACGCACAACATGTATTTACGAATGTTGTTTACAAAAATGGGTTTTGGAATGAATTAATGATTTTTTGGGATATTTCAAAATAGTTTTAGGGATACGGGATATTTATAAAAAAAAATTATTTGGATATTAGGGGTAAACATTATAGGGATATGGGATATTGGGACAAAAACTTAATAGGATATGGGATTTACGTATAAATTTACATTGGTTAAAAATTAAAAAAAAACATGATCATTTAAATGTATTCTCTCAAAAAACCTCCTGGCAGTCCTGCTTTTTTAATCGAATTATGACATAACAGCACAGTTATGTGTTCAAACAAAATGTTCTATTTCTATTTATACTTCAGTGTGTCCTGTCAAAGTAGAAATTTGTTGATTAAATACTAAAAGAATAAATTTTAAGTTCGTAATTTGTTATAAATATAGATATACAGGTCCGAGTACACAGTTATTTCGTAGTGCATTTCTTTTAGACAATAAATGAAAATAAAAAAAATCCCACCTGCGCTTTCTCAATAATATTTTTACAGTGTGTTGTACTACTTTTGGGACAAATTATATCAAAATTATAGAAAACTTCATCGGCTCTAACTCAAAATATGGACAATTCTATTTTAAGGGGGTCTTGAAATCTTTTGACAGCTTCCGAAGTGCTAATTTTTAACCTTTTTCGGCTGGACCAAATCACTACTTTACTTTACAATTCATGACCCAAATTTTTTTACAGTGTAATTTCATCCCCCTACTTGCTATTTGAGGCATAAAACATGAAGGAATACATTTGGAAGGGGTACTAAAAAAATTGGCAAGCAACACACTGTCCACACTAGGGACTTTATTCGTATCATGTTTTGTTGTTAATTTTCTTCAGTGAAACTTCTTCAATTGCGATCAAAAAGCAAACTTCCGGTACATTAATAAGTCACGCGCTGTTATGTACGCGGTCATGTTTGGAACACATGGCGTTCGGGGAAAATGGTAAATTTGAACGAATCGTGTTCGACACCAGAACGCTTTTACAATAGCAACGCTTTCATGAGCATTTACGTATTTAATTGGTTAAAAAATATACCCAAAAGAACTTAAGTCGTTTAGAAAAAAGATGTATATTAAAAATCAATCATTTGCACGCTTATAAATACGCTCTTGTAACATGCTTTAAGTTTTTTTTTACCAAACTGATAATTTGCTTATGTTGATACAGCTAAAATACATTTTATCGTCAAATTATAATACGAATCACTCTTATTCATCGTCTGTTTGAGTCTGAAGCGATGAAATATTTTTTCACTCCCCATTACAATATTAGAACACTAAAGTGTTCAATTTAGAACACTGGTCTTGAACATATGCGTTAAAAGACTGAACACAATGTGTTATATTCTTTAAAGCTGACGTTAAATGTGGAACACTAATGTTAACAACCGAACATATTGTGTTTAGAATTGGAACAGTACTTACAAAACCGACGAAACATATTGTACCGGTCAAACGGAAAGACGGACTTCATTATCACTATAAACCCCCGCTTTACAAAGTGGTGTACAATTGAGTGTCAAAGAGACAGCTCTACATCCAAAACAAAGTGAAGGAACTGTGATCAATTATAAGCTACAGTACGGCCTCGAATGTGTGTAAATACATGCATTTTTATATAACAATTAAATCTGTGTGTTTGTACAATTTTAAGTATAACGGAGGACATTTCTGAAACTTATATATACAACAAACCTTCCTCTTATTTTAGCAACATTTAAACATCCTTATACTTAATGTAGTAAGTCGAGTACACCCCATCGAGCTAAAACATGTTTCATAAGTTTTCAGGATGTAGATTTATTGAAATATATTTGTTTTATTTAGAAAAATGCCACCTTCTAATGTATCGTAAATAACTTTGAAATCACCACTAGAATACAGTGAAATAAAGACTGATCATACAGTTTCAAAATATACAAGCGAGACTGATCGTACAGTGAGAAATTCAAACAAGTGTAATTTTCTTATTTCTGGCATCAAAGATCTGGTTGAAACTTTTACCACAACTTGAAATATACTTCATTTAGTTAATTACGTCTGGTTTTTACGTTAATTCGTACACTAAGAGGGTAAAAAGATTGTTTTTAGGTTCACCGACTGATTTTCCTTAGTGATGCACTTGAAAATCTCTTGATTAAGGCAAAGATACGAATAATGAATGTGCTGAATTTAATTCTAAACCATTTGAGAATATCGATGTCAGCTGAATTAATCATTAAGCAATGTACAGATGATCAACTTACCGTTTAATTCAGTTATTATAATATCCATCAAATTTAAAATATGATCCAAAAAGTTCTCGCTTCGAAAATCGCGACTTCCGGATAGCGTACAGAATAGTCTCTACACTGTGTATTGTTGTTTGAAAAATCTTTAACCACAGACTGAACATAAATGTCGACTCCACTGTCAGAATGTAGGATCAATAAGGTATTTCTCGCTTTCTCAACAAAATGGTGCAGGCGTGTGTAAAAAATATCCAAAAGTACACATTAACTACTGATTGGAAAACAAAGCAATACTTTAATGATCAACAAAACAATGTTTAGAATTATAAAATGTCATTATGATAAAGGTTTTCATATCTTAGTCATACATTTTTAAACCAGTGTTCCTTATACTAACCTAGACATTCAAAATTATTCCAATTTCACAACAGTCAACCAACTGGATGGTAAGAATAATTTTGATTTCACTGTATTTGCTTCAAACTAACAACATTTCCCTTAAGTAATGAGCAAAATTAATTTATCAGTTGACCAATTTGTTGAAATGAATTTAAACTGCAATTCATATGCAATTGGGTAAAACATTTTAGAAAATTCCAATGGTATAATATAATTTTGAAAGGACAAAGCCTATTGAATGTGCACAGTTAAAAGACCAACAATTGGCAGCAGCACACCATCATTTGACAAATTTTGTGTAGTGTCCATTTTGGAGAATTCATTGATGACAATTTTGTGAATAACACACCAGGCTTCATATCAGCAGCAATTATTGTTATTCCTTTGTTTTTTGCTTTTAGATGTGCACGTAGGTATTTTTTGTCATGATGAATACATTGTATCCTTTCTTTTCCATTTCCTAAATATTAGACAGTTACATGCATTTTGCACTGATGTGCTATTTTTATGGATCACCAAGCCAAGTTTGACTGACATTTGTATAGTGGTTTCAGAGAAGATTTTGTAAAAGTTTTATGTTAACAAACATTAGTAAAATGAATATACCTAAATTGACAGGAGAGCTTATGATAAATGTAAAACAGTCAATTTGTATCATCACATTTTTCCTTTAAACAAAAGAGTAACAATATGTACAAACTTTATTTTACATTTATAATGAATATACATTATTATTTAACATATTTTTGTGGTTTAACTTTGACAGTTTGATTTCCTTTTAGAACATTGCCACTGCGATCTATAGAATATTCATAGTCCATTCGTACATCTAATATTTTTTCTATTTCTTCATCGAGATTCTCCATTGTTATAAATGTCTGTTTCTGTAACGACAAAATAGAAATAATACAGTAAAACCCTAAGTAAAAGATAAATAATGTATGATTAAACATTGCACATCACATGACAAAAAGAAAATTAAGATGGATTCAAACTTCTCTTCAGTTCATTTCAATACTTCCAAATCAAGCAAATAACGGAGAATCAAGATTTTTTCATTATTTTGTTCAAGTCTGTAAAATTTAATGTTCAATAAAATAGAGCTTTTGGTTAAAATGTATTTTTTTGTCTAGATCGTTATTGCAATGACATAATACATGTACTTAATTCATAAAAATGGCAAAACTACACATAAATCTATATGTTTGGCCTACACTTAAGCATGAGAGAAATAATATAAAGCAGAAATCTGTCAAAAAAATAATTTCACAGGAAATGTACATGTATTTTGTTACCATGTACACTGGCAAAAAAATATTTTGGGCCACAATAGGGCAGTGTGTGAATTAGTCAATATTTTAGCTAAAATCTTTTAAAAAAATCAAAGAAAGAAGAATTTTCTGAGGACACGAATGCCCCCGCTCAGGCTTTGCAATTTTCCAAGTAAAAAAGGGGCATAACTCTAGAACAATAAGTGACTCACTTCCCAAATTCATACTCTGTCTGCAAGTTTTGGTTCTTACCATTGTGTATGAGTTTCATAAAATTTGCATCAGGCAAATTTAAGTTAGAGTGCAGAAACGAAAACGGGACGGACAGAAGGACAGACGGAAGAACAGAAAGACTGAGGGTCAATGGTAACACTTAATGTCCCTGTAGCCTACAGCATGGGAATAAAAATATGATTATTTATGGAATGTTCAAGATTGCATAAACCAATAAGGACTTTCACCTTTAAACTTCTTAAGAACTGTTATAACTAATGACAACCAGTTGTCTTTTGTAAATAGCATGCCCCTCTATAAAATAACAGCGTACATACATTCACATAAAATATATAAAACAATATAGACAAACAGTTTTAAATAATGATGTTGGTATGATGGAATAACCTTCTCTTTGAACAGTATTGGGATTTTGCTGTTTTTATAGATGATGTATTCATAAAAATACTCATTATACCGGTAATATATTCTATGTAATAACATGTGTTGTTTTTGTAATATGACTGGGAATAAAATCCTACTGAAAATAACAGACGCAGTAAAACATACATAAGACCACAACGAATATACAACGGAAACTAAAAAAACTGATATGTCAGCAAGGGCCCAGTTTGCACATTTTTGTGTGATGCAGAGACTGATGTGTACAACGCATTTCATTTTCATGGGATGTCAATTTTTATAAGATATGACACCGGCAATTAATTCAGGATGTGTTCTCTGTAAATATAAGTTTTGTTAAAATCCATACACTATAAATTTTTTAACAAAAAGTAAGTATTCTACCACAAAAATTGTGATATATGTATGTATGTATGTATGTATGTATGTACGTAAATCCCTCCGTTTACGGAGCACCCCTCGAGAGCTGGGAGGGTACAGTGGAATCCGTGTACACTCCCTATCGGGATTAATGGAGATGTGTCACTAACGTATTTACAATGTTCAATATTTACAAGGACAATCCCCACCCCAACACCAGGGAGTGTTAGGAGACCGGGCAGAATCTGTAATTATGGTGGAGGAAGCTGAAGTACTCGGCGAGAACCACCGGGCTGCTTGGCTGAAACAGAAAAACCGAAGAGATATCAGCAGATTGATCTCCATGTCAATGTCGGGAGCAACTTTGACCAACCGAGGCCCCCATAGTACCCATTCTAGTTTAAACTCCGGTCTGGGTACCAGAGATGTGTGTGAGAGGGTGAAAATCACCCTTCTGATGTACTGATATTTTTAGCACCCCGAGTGAGGATCGAACTCGGGACCTTCAGCACTGTAGCCATCGGTCTTAACCACTAGACCACGAACTCACACGTATATACTAAAATACTTGCACTTTGTTTAAAAAATTTTAAATTTTGAGAAAAACCTTTTTATGCTAGAATTTCAACACAAATGAACATACATGTCCTATATTCACAAAAAAATTAGAGAAATTTTATAGGTATTAACACAGTCCAAACAAAATTTGAATGTCAGTTAAGGCAATCTTGAATTATTGTAGGATATAGATGTGTTGATGGACATACAGACATAGTGATTAATACAAGGGGGTAATGCTTTGATTAGTTCTTCACCATGAATGTGAACCTAATATTGTAGTAATGCAGTATTTTATCCAACCTTTTCAAATTCTAGCCTCTGTTCTGCCTCTGTCAGCATTCTCATCATTTCTTCTTCTTTTTCCTTTTCTATTTGTTGTTGTTTTTCCAACTCTATCAAATCTTCTTCAGCCTGACGTTTTTCTCTGCAGAACAAAATTTAAAAATCACATAATGAAACACAGGAAAATCATCTACTGCAGAACTTTGCATTGTATCAACAAGCTTTAAGATTACTTTCATAAGTGGTCAGTAGCAGCATGTATAAAAACTTAAAGATTGTGTTTTTAAGAGTACCATAATGAGTATGTCTAGCTTTATAAGTGTAAGTTAGACAGGTAAACTCAAGAGCACCTGATCATGAGTGTCCATCTCTTAGGAGTTAATGAATACTGGTGTATAAGTTTCAATTTGATGTGAGAAAGACAGGAACAAGGTCTACAGTGTATGCCATCACATTTTTTGGAAGATTGCTCAACCTAAAAGTGACCTTGAGAATGTAAAGTAGTATAGAGTTAGTAGGTCAAGCAATATAGAGTTAGTAGGTCAAGCTCTAAGTTGCAACAGCCTGAATAAGTTTGTCATGAATTGCTTTGAACACACATAACATGGTGGTATTCATCACCAATTGTAATACTGCTACCTTTTAACAGCTGTCTCTTTGTTCCACTCTTCTGTCAATTTAACCATCCTTTCCCATCCTGCTTCTGTATCTATTTGTTTAGACATTTCTACAGCTTCTTTCTTGTCAATCTCAGCTGCCAAGTGCATTCTAAAAAAGTAAACAAATAATGTACAATGCAGTTATTAGCTAAATCTTTAAGAACTTTAAGAACACTCAAGAAACTAAATATCACTTTTGGGAGTCAGGGAAAGCAATTTCTACCACACAGTATGATACATAATTGCCCAGTAGTGTGACCCCTAATATGTGATGACAGACAGGGTTTCGGCTGGAGGTCGCCATTTTCACATTTTGCAAAAAAAATTAAATTGTGGCGATTAAAATCATGATTGGCGAAAGAAATATAACGTTTTACTTTGTTCATCTTTTTAATTTGTTAAAGGTTTTCCAGACCTTTTCCCTGATCAGACAATACTCGGATTTCACCTTGAACTCGCATAGATTTTGTCAGAAATCAATAATTAGCTGATTGCAATTGATAGCAATCAGCAACAATGGACTAATTCAGAAAGGTGTTAATTATATTGTCTGATAAAATTGTGTGATATTTTGCCATGGCGTCACATGTCACATGAAGGAGTAATTTGATAACAATAATTGTTTTGAACTGGGAACTTCACAATCATTTTAGCGGCTCACCTAGGCCTGTTTTACGTGTCAACTTTTACTTTTAACGATGGTACAGAAGAGAAAACTATTGTTTTAAAGAAAGTGTTCAAAAGTAACACAAATCTCTGATTTTATTCTTTGTCCTTTAACTAGACAGGAAGTGTCCAATAAACTGATTTAAGATGAATCCTGAAGTCAAATTTTACAGTACATGTATCTTTATAAAAGTTCAAGAAATTTTTGTTCTGATTTAGTGTTCATTTATTACACTGTAGGGTAAAATAAATGGAGAATGTGTCTATGGGCCACAGATGCCCCCGCTTGTAAATATGCACGAGTCAACTTCCACATACAGATACAGGATTCACGTAGTTAAGACTGTTTTGTGATTATAAGCATAAGTTTCATAACTTTTGGTTGAGGCAAACTGAAGTTAGCGAACAGATACGACAGATTTAGCAATTTTTCAATTTATAAAGAGACATAACTTAAGAACAGTAAAAGTGACGCCACACAATTTCAAACTTGATCTGTGTTTTGTAGTAATAAGCATTGTGTATAAGTTTCATAACATTTGGTTGAGACAAACTAGAGGCAAACTAAAGTTAGAGAACGGCTACAAAAAATTCAGCAATTTTTTGGTTTATAAAGGGGCATTACTCATGAACGGTAAAAGTGATGCCACCCAATTTCGAACTTGATATGTGTTTTGTGGTAATAAGCATTGTGTATAAGTTTTATAAACATTTGGTTGAGGCAAACTAAAGTCAGAGAACGGAAAAGAAAAATTCAGCAATTTTTAAAAGGGCCATAACTCATGAACGGTAAAAGTGACGACACCCAATTTCGAACATGATCTGTGTTTTATGGTAATAAGCATTGTGTATAAGTTTTATAACATTTGTTTGAGGCAAACTAAAGTTAGAGAACGGAAACCAATTTTTGGGACAGGACAGACAGACAGAAAAGGGTAACACTTAATGCCCCCTCTGCTACGGTTGAGGAAACCCTAGCCTGATGACAATGAAATGCTACAATACCAAGATGATGCAGGCAAGCCTTACTGCTAGTAAGTCTCATACTACATGTAGTTTGCTAATACCATACAAGTATACCGATATAACATGTTACTTTTATTATTCTTCCCTTAGTTTATTTATTTTGTATTTACATTGTGTCATAGGTCAAATTTATTTGTTCAGTGTATGTTCAATGGTGTTAATATGTCCTTTGATTGAGTTAAGCTATTTCAGTTGATATTTTATAGTGTGTCTTTCTATGTTGTGATGTTACACTATTGTTTCAGAAAAAGGGTGAAGGTTTGGTACCATTAAAACGTTTAAACCCGCTGCATTTGTTTGCACCTGTCCTAAGTCAGGAATCTGATGTTCAGTAGTTGTCGTTTGTTGATGTGGTTCATAAGTGTTTCTCGTTTCTCGTTTTTTATATAGATTAGAACGTTGGTTTTCCCGTTTGAATGGTTTTACACTAGTAATTTTTTGGGGCCCTTTATAGCTTACTGTTCGGTGTGAGCCAAGGCTCCGTGTTGAAGACCGTACTGTGACCTATAATGGTTTACTTTTATAAATTTTGACTTGGATGGAGAGTTGTCTCATTGGCACTCATACCACATCTTCTTATATCTAAGTAACATATAAACGAATACAAATATAACATGAATATAATGATGATCACATGTAAATCTAATATAAATATATATTTTTTTTGTATTGTCCTACACACAGAGTCAAAATTTTATGTGGTGTGGTTACAAGGTTACAGTCTGCAAGAAAACATGTCATTCCTCCAAGACCAAGACATATTATTCTGACTCTAAGCCAACTAGTCTTGCCCTTACTGCTAAATGCACTGTGATTTGTGGGTAACCAGCAAATACCAATTTTTAAGTCGGTATTGCACAGGGACCTCAATGGATGAAAATTTAACCATGGAGGAACTTTCACTAGGACAAGTCACATAACCTGCATGCCATGATCGAAATCATTTGATTCATCCAAATCATTGTAAGGAATAACAAATAGACTGATATATTGTTTATTTTAATATAAACCTTTTTCAAGCTCTTTGAGTATGTTGAGTACACACCATGTTAAAATATGAATACTGGGTATATTGGTTGTCAGTTGAGCAGCAACGTCATGATTTGTTTGGGCTCTTCCAATCATGCTCCCAGTTATATACTTTTTCTGAATGAGTTACCTGAGGTCAATCGTTGTAAATGATGTCTTTAAAAGATGACGTAAGAATATAAAGTCGGTCAAATCTGTAAGTCATCAAAACATGGCTTTCCTTGTGGTAAAATATTTAGCATACATGTAGAGGGCCAACCTGGGGTAAAATCAATTTAAACCCAAATGAAGGTTTCTTAAGTATAATATATTGATTACATTATAGAATAACCAATATTTTCAATTAACTGTCATTTGTTACAATTCAAATGTCAAGCTGGGCTCCTCATAGTCAAGGATGACCATTATTCAGCTGTTCTGTTAAGTTCAAAGTCTTTTTCTGTCACTGTTTTGGACATTTTTTTAGAATTTAAAAAATCTGGGTCGTTTTTCTCACTACCAATTTAAATCAGAAGTCACAAACCCCTATCTAGGATTTGCAACATCAGCAAAAGTTTCATACCTGTTTTGTAGAACATTCAATAAAGTTTTGTCATGTTTGTGGAGGGCAATAGTTAATAACTGTAATGGTTTTAATGAGTTAAAATTTCAAATGCCATAGCAACATGTATCATGGTTATAGACAATGCAATATGCATCTTTCGATTCTGAATGTAAACAGGATATACATGTATATTAATTTGATTGTATATTATGAAATGAGTTCAGAATTACAGTACAAAATTTCTTTAGATTATCAAGTGGCATTTAATGCTCGTTTATTTATTTTAACACTTGTAAAGGGATTCAATTTGATCAATAATTGTTGGACTGGTGAAACTTGAGGTGATATTATGTCCTGTCATTCAAAAAGGGGGATGTAGATTATCATGATTATGTGTCGATAAAATCTTAATTTTCATTACCATTTGCTAGAAAGTATTTGACTAAATTTTCTATCTTGATCAAAGTTTTCTTCTGTCAGCAGTCATGTGTATCCATCTGTACAAGTTTTATATAAATGAGCGATCATTAGCCTGATATTCCACTGGGCTTTAAAACATTAACTACAATGTACATGTACATGTATGAAGACCCTTTGGATTATAATACAATAAGGTTATGCATTTACAGGCAATTGACTGTAATTGATAACGAACAAAGTGGAAGCTAGCGAAACAAAAACAAATTTTGACTACAACACCATTCCACAGTTATTAAACGATAGCAAAAATTTAATCTAAAGGTGATGATGAGCTATCATAAAACAGGTCATGGAGATGCCAGATTGCACCCACAACCTCCTGCACACAAGGCATACACAGTACTCTGAGACCACCTTCATGGGGGGTTCCACAGATGATTGATTGATGTTTACTTAAGTTTAATGTACAGTGGCAAATGTTTCATGCATGTTCATGATCAGGGTTATTCCACAAATGAAAGACAGTCTTTATAACAAAGAAAATAAAAAATAACCTTATTGCTTCAACAGTGTTTCTATATTCTTGGTATCTCCATTTCAATTCTTCATATTCAACAGGGTCTATGGGCGTTGGTTCTCTAACATAAAACTCTTTGCTAGCCGCTTTCGGTACCCATCTTGGTTTTCTATAACGAACTGAATTCAAACAAGGTAGAATACTTGCTGTTGGTTTTATAGTCATCAGCTTAAGTATTTGAGTCTGGGCAAGCTTTAAAACTGCCATTTTGAACTTTTCAAAAGGTCGAAAAAAAAATTTCACATTTCCATGGGGGCCGCCATTAAGAACATTATAAATTAAAGAGCACAATCCCGTGTATGTCTTGAAGAAACTCGCGATCCGTGCAAAGAGGTGACCAGTTGTTTATATCCTGATATTCTGGTGATATTTATACTAAATTTAAATAAATGTCCTTTTCTATATGTCTATATTTCAGTTAAACATGTGAAACATAATATACAAATTTACAACAAAAGATTTTCCTTCAGTTTATACTATTACAAAAGTTTATTTTTTTTATTCGGCTCACTTATAACAGTTCAAACATAAGCTCTTGCTTTTTATCAAAAACAAATAACATACACACGACATAAGAACAGATCATGCAGAGTAGGATATTTAAGCAGCACATATATATATATATTAAAATGCATAAATACCGTCACCATGGTCACATGGGCAAATTGAAATAGTTAAACGTAGACAGAAAGTCACAATTTTGATAGGAAATAATTTGTTTATGATTGTTTGAATATATTTCTTTTTATCATTTTATTACATATAATCATTTTACAGTTTAGAAAATTGACCAAAAGCCTTGCTAAATGCAAACTTATCAAATTTTAATCTTGCAAATGATATATTTCTTGACACCATTAAGCCATTAAAGTATCAAGCCACTTTGGCAAATTGTTTTCTTAACATTATTTGATCATTATTGATTTTTTTAGAATACATTTTACTGACAAAGTTGCTTTGTATATAATAGTTCAAGAAAAATACATTTTTTTTTTAAATAAGTGTCAGTTTCTTATTGAAATAGAAATAACTTCCGTTTCATAACTGAATTGGGACTTTTTGTCCTGTGACTTCAGGTTTGGTTTCAACTTTTTGACGTGTGAGTGTCTGTCCTACATTCATTAAAAGACATGCACAGGACTACTAAAAAAAGTTTAAATACTTCTTAACATGCTAAAACTGAAGCATAACTAAAATTAAAGCACAACTAAAATTTAAGCACAGCTATAATTTTAAGCACATCAGGAAAATTTAAAAGCATACTGCAAAATCAAGAATATAGGTTTAAATGAGAAGCGCTATAACAAAAAAATATCTACATATGCAGACTGACAATGACATGCCAATCCATTCCGGAACTTTAGAAGGCTCTGGAATTCATTAAAAACTATTGAGTCCTGAAATGGTCGGGTCGGCTGTTCCACAGAGTAGCAGCTGTAAATCTAAACCTTTTCTTATCATACCGTTGATTTAATTTTTTAAGGTACTAATTAATCAACTATGTTTAAAGTTTCGATTGCCATTAATCTTTGCCTTTTAAGATGCAGTGAAAGCTTCTGAACCTTGAATGGTCTTCATATACAAACCTTGGTGCTTTTTTGCACCTTTTCGATTTTTTTTTTACTTTTCTTAGTACAGAAATTCCATTCCAAAGAGCAAAAATTCCTCAAAATGATAATATAGTACACTTACTTTGCTTGTTTAAATAAGTTCCGAAACGGTTAAGAATATTTAGTAGCTGAGATGCTTTCTTGCATTTTTTACTGATACGAGTATCAAAATTTAACTGATTAATCCATATTAATGTCAAGGATGTTAACAGTTGATTCACATGAAAAATCAGCGCTTTTAATACGTATTCGTGGATTTTTGTTACATGTCTTTTTCCGTACTGTAACCTGAAAGTCAGTGTTTGCCTGTATTTTATTCATTTTTAACCATTCAATAAGTTTAAGAGATTCTGATTTTTAAGTATATTTAAAACATAACCATATATGTATTTTTACACAGTAATGAAAACTTATGGTCCTACAACCTGTTGATACTATATCACTCATATTTCGGCATAGCCATGTTTTTCTCAGACTGTTAATGACGCCTTTACTGTGAACTAAATCCTTTGGAATGTACTGATTGGTACTTTAGTCCCCCTATTTTATCCGAGACTAGTATACTATAGTATACTAGTCCCAGGTTTTTCTCGACCAGTGGAATAACAGATAGAAGAAGGAAGAAATCAGTTCGAAAGCAAATTACAAAGTTAGTATACAAATAAATCAACATAGCCAAGAGGGCAATACAAAATAAACTTTGAAACACTAATCGACGATCGAAAATCGGCTAAAGAAAAAATACGACAAGACAACTTGAATCCAACTTTGGAAGAATCGGTAGTTCCAGCTAAGCAAGCGAAATCCGTTGCGTGGCCCCTGATAAAATCCGGTAGGAAATATAGTCGGTGTCAAGATTTTTTCCGGTAGTGGATTGCGGGTATTTATATCTCTTGTCTAGTCTTTAGTTCAATCCTCTATCATAGAAATCTCAAAAGGAAACGCAAGGTTTTGTTAGACTCACTCTTTCCTTTTTCGATTTCCCTGTCATTTGTCTTTGTCTTGCAATCCTTTTAACTTTTCTATTTCAGTTACATTTCCCAATTAAGCAACTGGACGTTTCAGCAATCAAAAATCAGTCAAACCAATTCCCAATACTTTCCCCCCGTTTCAATTCTTCGAAATCCCATAAGATTAAAAGATGTAAGGGATACGTTAACAGTACAAAAACAAATACATATAACGGTCATCATACTGTTATAGACAGTTGTCTATACGAGATATCAAGCTCTAAATCGGACGGGTCCCGAAGAGTTGTGAACTTCCATCAACTTAACTTCCCCAACTGACAAAACCATTGTGCACAATGTACTAACCACTGACGAGGTTTAGGGCTTGGCACAGGTACATGCACAATGTGTATCAATGAATATTTTTTTCTTAAATTCACCGTTGATTAATTATCAAATTACGAAAAAACTAAGGTTCCAACTCCCTCAGGCAAATTTGACCTTAGATGAATTGTGCCATTCTTTTTATGTCCCTTTTTGTCATATACAGCACCTAACTTTCTACGTATATATACATCCCTGGCTTTCAAATGTTTGGGATTGAGCGTTCCTGATGAAAGTAAATCCAGAAAAGCGCTTAGGACGCACAAAACTTGTAGTGTTAACTTCAGTTGCTTTTACTGAAAGAAAGCTCGAGAGATTATTCTATTACATATGTATAGTCGACCTTCCCATGGATAGAAACAATTAGTGCCTGTGCACATAATCATAACAATATCAATCTATTCTCCGAGATGATAACCATATCTATACCATAATCATAACCGGATTAATATATGCTCTGATGTTAATTGTATTGAAGGCCGCACTTTGGCCTATAATTGTTTACTTTTTACACATAGTGACTTGGATGGATAGTTGTCTCATTGGCACTCATATCATATCTTCTTATTTCTATATTTGATGTGTTAATCATCTCTGCATCATAATCATAACAGTATTAATCAATGCTCTGAGACATTAACCATCTGTACACCATAATAATCTATGCTCTGAGGTGTTACCAGTCTCTACACCATAACCATAACATTTATATTCGCTCTGAGTTGTTAACCATCTCTTCATCATAATCATAACAATATCAATCTAAGCTCTAAGGTGTTAACAATCTCTGTACCATAACCATAACAACATTTATATTCACTCTGAGGTGTTAGCCATCTCTGCACCATAATGATAACTATGTTAATATCAGCCCCGAGTTGTTACTAATCTCTGCACCATAATCATTACAATATTTATCTTCGATCTGAGGTGTTAAACATCTCTACACCATAATCATAACAATATCAATCTATGCTCTGAGGTGTAAGCCATCTCTGCACCATAAACATAACAATATCACGCTATGCTTTGAAGCGTTAACTATCTCTGCACCATCATCATAACAATATTAATATATGCCATGAGAAGTTAGCCATCTATGCATTATAACGATAACACTATTAATCTATGCTTTGAAATGTTTACCACCTCTGCACCACAATTATAACAATATTTATCTATGCTGTGAGGTATTACGCATCTTTTCACCATAACATAACAATATTAATCTATGCTCTAAAGTGTTAACCATCTCTGCATTATAATCATAACATAAATTTATGCTCCAAGGTGTTAATCATCTCTGCACTACAATCATAACAACATTAATCTATGCTCTAATGTGGTAATCATATCTGCATTATAATCATAATATAAGTCTATTCTCTGAGGTGGAACCAATCTCTGCACCATAATCATAGTAATGTTAATCTTCCCTCTGAAGTGTTAACCATCTCTACACCATATACATAACAATATCAATCTATGCTCTGAGGTGTTAACCATCTCTGAACCATAACCATATAAACACCAATCTATGCCCTTAGGGTTTATCCTCTCTGCACCATAATCATAACGTCAATCTATGCTCTGATGTGTTAACCATCTCCGCACCATACTCATGACACCAATTTATGCTCTGATGTGTGAATCATCTCTGCACCATAATCATAACAACATCAAAATATGCCCCAAGGTGTTAACAATCTCTGCACCATAATCATAACAACGCCAAACTATGCTCTGAGGTCTCTGCATTATGATCACATCAATCTATGCTCTGAGGTGTGACCAATCTCTGCACCATAATCATATAAACATCAATCTATGCCGTTAGGGTTTATCCTTTCTGCACCATAAACATAACAACATCGTTCTATGCTCTAAAGTGTAAACCATCTCCGCACCATAATCATTACATCAATGTATGCTCTAATGTGTGAATCATCTCTGCACCATAAGCATGACAACATCAATATATGCTCCAAGGTGTTATGAATCTCTGCACCATAATCATAACAACTTCAATCTATGCTCTGAGGTCTCTGCATCATGATCATAACATCAATATATGCTCTGAGGCGTTAATCATCTCTGCATCATAATCATAACATCAATCTATTATCTGATGTGGTAATCATCTCTGCATTATAATCATAACATCAATTTATGCTCTGATGTGGTAATCATCTCTGCATCATGATCATAACATCAATCTATGCTCTGATGTGGTAATCATCTCTGCATTATAATCATAACATCAATTTATGCTCTGATGTGGTAATCATCTCTGCATTATAATCATATCATCAGTCTATGCTCTGAGGTTGTAACCATCTCTACACCATAATCATAATAATACCAATCTATGCTCTGATGTGTTAATCATCTCTGCATTATAATCATAACATCAATCTATGCTCTGAGGTTGTTACCATCTCTACACCATAATCATAATAATACCAATCTATGCTTTGAGGTGTTAACCATCTCTGCGCCATAATCATAAAAACATCAATCTATGCCCTCAGAGTTTATCCTTTCTGCCCCATAATCATAACAACGTCAATCTATGCTCTAAAGTGTTAACCATCTACGCACCATAATCATGACATCAATCTATGCTCTGATGTGTTGATTATATCTGCATCATAATCATAACATCAATGTATGCTCTGAGGTGTGAATCATCTCTGCATCATAATCATAACATCAATGTATGCTCTGAGGTGTCACAAATCTCTGCACCATAATTAAAGTAATGTTTATCTTCCCTCGGAGTTGTTAACCATCTCTACACCATAATCATAATAATATCAATCTATGCTCTGAGATGTTAACCATCTCTGCGCCCTAATCATATAAATACCAATCTATGCCCTTAGGGTTTATCCTTTCTGCACCATAATCATACAAACAACACCAATCTATGCTCTCAAGTGTTAACCATCTCCGCACCATACTCATGACATCAATTTATGCTCTGATGTGTGAACCATCTCCGCACCATAATCATAACATCAATCTATGCTCTGATGTGTTGATTATATCTGCATCATAATCATTACATCAACCTATGCTCTGAGGTGTTAATCCTCTATGCATCATTATCATTACATCAATCTATGCTCTGATGTGGTAATCATTTCTGCACTATAATCATAAAATCAATCTATGCTCTGATGTGGTAATCATTGTGGTAACAAACTCTGCACCATCATCATAACAATACAATTTTAACCTACTGATCTGAGGTGTGTAAGATTTCTACTTCATTTTCAGAAAAATATTAATCAATGCTCAGGTTTTTGCCTTAATAATATATATTTTTGATAAATACTCTGAGGTGTTAACTTTCTCTTTACTGTTGTCGTAACAATATTGATGCTATGGTCTTGACCATCTCTGCACCAAGGTGTTAAATGATCTCTGCATCATAATCATGACAATATTAATCTATGCTCTGAGATATTAATCGTATCTGCACCATTATTATAACAATATATATTTATGATATAAGGTGTTACCCATATGTGCATCATAATTAAAACAATCCATCAAGAGAAAGCTTTTATTGTCCTGGTTAAAATAATAGCTTGCGGCTTTTTAACAAACTGCTATCAAAACTGATATCATTTACTTTGGAAAGCTAAGTATATCCCGCTTTTTGTGTGACACCCTCTGAATTTCGTGTAACCTTGTGGTACTCTACTGATTCACATCTTATAGGGGAGAATTGAGATCGCAAAAACTAATCACAAGTTAATGTGCACGTATAAATACAGGAATTCTGACTGTGGTTATATCTTACATGGGTTTTTGTTCTGTAAGGAACTTGGGGAGTTGATGGAAGATTTATGATAGATCCTGTTAAATTTCATCACACAAATAACGGTGATTTAGAGCTTGACATATTGTATACACATTTATATATTGTTGTAGACTGTATGTTAACCTAGGCATTCTGGTGTTTTGTTGGGTTACTGTCTCATTGATATATACATGATATCTAGGCCAATATCTCCTTTTATTCTTAGTATATTATATGAAACTTTAAATAATTCAAACAACCAATAAAAGTATTCTTCTCTTTCTAGCATCTTCAAGGTAGAAGCAGGTTGAATTACACCATTAAAACATGTTTCCATTGTCAGGTCTAATTGATAGTGTCTCTTTATGATTATCACCACAACCAATGCCTACACATGCCACAGAGGACATAGTATTGATCTTTTCAGTCCATCTATCTGTAAAACACTAACACTGACAGGCCAAAAAGCTTTCATTCTTGGTATTTCTCCTCATATTCTCTTGACCATAATGTACTGCATTTGATTAGACTATTTCTGTGGGAGATGCTAGACTTTGACAACTCCTGTAGAAATTTAACCCTTTTTTACTATTGTTATACTTGTGAAGACAACACCTGTAAAAATTTAACCCTTTTTTACTATTGTTATACTTGTGAAGACAACTCCTGTAGAAATTTAACCCTTTTTTTACTATTGTTATACTTGTGAAGACAACTCCTGTAGAAATTTAACCCTTTTTACTATTGTTATACTTGTGAAGACAACTCCTGTAGAAATTTAACCCTTTTTTACTATTGTTATACTTGTGAAGACAACTCCTGTAGAAATTTAAATCTTTTTTACTATTGTTATACTTGTGAAGACGTTTCCTCTGTGACCATTTACCAGAAAGCTTTCATACTTCATAGGATTGTTTGTCAAAATGTGTAGTAGGCTATAGTATACCCTCAATTCAATTTGACAATTCTTATGGGAGCGCGAGTAAAGGAACATTTTTGAGAGTTGTAACACAATGACACTTTGTGAACATAAGTCCTCTGAGACAATCGGCTCAAAGCATTCATTCAACAGGATTTAATAAGTTTTTCTGTATGCTATTTACCTCCTCTAAATGAAGGTCACTCTTTCCATATTGTGATAGAATAAAAGTGCAATAGAATGTATAAATTCAGTATTAATGTAGGTCAACTAAAGCTCCATACTGATAAAAAACAAAAATGGCTAATCTAGACAAGGTATCTGGGAGGCCTTCAAGTAATTAATTTTCTTTTATTCAATCTTAAAAGAAAAGAGTGACCTCAATTAAGAAGAGGTAAATAGCATACAGCAAAACTTACTAAAGTTAGTTTGTTCTCATGTTGTGCTGTAACACTACAGTTCCAAGTTAAAGGAGGGTTGAGTGCTAACAAACATGTTGAACCCCAACTCTTAACATTCTTTATGTGTCAGTCTCAAGTCAGGAGTCTGTATTCTGTGGTTGTCATTGGTTCATGTCTGTCATATTTGTTTTTCATTAGTTTTCTCGTTTGAATTGTTTCACAGTTTTCAAGTTTGGACCTTTTATAGCTCACTATATGGAAGGGATTTTTTACATAGTTGATGGCCGTACGGAGACCTATAAACTTTTTCATCTTTGTCTGACATTTGAACTCTGGTGGATAGTTGTCTCATTGCCAATCATACCACATTTCCTTATTCTATATAAATCCTGTTGTATCAATGCTTTCAGCAGTACAATATGTACAATTTAAAATATAGTATTGTACAATATGTACTACTTAAAAAAAGCTAAGATGGGACAGTGAGCCACCACTCTACCAAATGAATTGAGTAAGTAATACAATATCTCAGTTCATAGATGGCAGTTTTTTTTTGGTGCCATGGAAAGCTGTGAATTAAATGAAGTAAAAATCTTCTTTCGCAACTTATGATACTATACAATATTCATTCAGATCGCAATTATGGGACTTTGTACAAAAAGTCTCCTTGATCATCATAAACAGTTTTTCCTTTCTGGTAAAATGATGTCTGACGTCTCCTTGAAATTCTGACTGGTTTCATTTCCTCATTTGACTCGTTATAAGTTCTGTTAGTATAAGGAACTTTTTCAGTCACAATTTTCCCAAAGGAATCTTGACTATATTGTTCTGACTTTGGATTCCATTTCTGAAAACTTTTTTTACCATGGTAATTGTCAGAAAATTTGATATTTTCATTCTGTAAATTTTTTAACTCTGAATTAACCTGTTCTGATCTGTTGCTCTGGTGTAAACATTTAACTGTAAATTTGTTTTTTGGCTTTAAATCAAAGTTAAAATTGACCGATGAGTGATCCTTTGCTTGTTTTGTAAATTTGTTCAAACACTCTTTACTTCCTGGTTGTGTATCAAGATTGAAATTTGAAAAAGTATCATAAGTATTTTGCTTCCTGTATTTGTTCATTGTGTTAGTTTTCTCGTTCGGTATTTCTTGGAAGTCATCCAATGTATCTGCCGCCCTATTCTGTCTTGCTCGACTCAGTTTATTGTTTTTATTGACAAATAAATCATCTTTAGAATTAGGTATCAATCTAGGCCTCTGTTCTTTTTTATATGAATTTTTTTCATCTGACAAATTTAATTCAAAATTGCCACTTTGTTTGACAACTTTCTCAACTTGTTCTTTCTCTTGACCTTTCACTTTCATAGTTTGTCTGCCTTCATCACTGACTGGTTCAGGCAATAACACATATTTGTGATCTTGAATCTGGGTATCACCTTCTACCACTCTATCATAATACATTAACATGGATGTGAATGGTCCAATTTTTTTAGGCAGTTTTAATAATTTACTCTCTGCAGCTATTGTTCTTCTGGTCACTACTTTTGTCAATGGCAGGTCTTTTATTCCAGCAGCACTTCCAATTTTTAAGATTTTATCTTCCAATTCCTCTCTTTCTTCACTATCTATTGTTTCAGTATCATCTGCTAACTTTTTCTTTATATCATTTATATTTAAAATGGCTTTATCATCATGCTTCCTTATCTCCTTTTCATCTGAAGGAAGATATGTTGATTTTAAGATGCCAATAACTCCTTCCCTACTCACCGGGAAACTCTCAATGAGTTTGTCAACTGTCCACTCCTCAGGGTACTCCTGGTTTAGATATCTCATTTGTTCTTTAGCTTGCCATGTCAGTACATTTTTCTCCGGATTCTTTTTAAAGTATTTCCTTTCTATGATTTTTTTCTTCAATTTATTCCTCTCCAATTTGGCTAATCTGTGGAATATAAAAAAACTACATTGATATCATTTCTCTTACAAAAGATAAGCCTTGTGAAATGTGATGCATGTTAAATTTATATGAATAAAAAGAGATTTCTTTAATATGCCAATGAGACAGCAACTTGGTATTAAAAGGGCACTGCTTTTATTTCTTCCATCATTGGTGATTTTGCTCTATTTAACATAAAAATGGGTTGTTTATTTTCAAAAGTATGTGGCCAGGCAAGGCAGTCATGACAGTATGCAACTGATAATTACAAAGTATGAGATTAATAAAAAGTTTAAGGTTATAGATAGGAAGATTAACTGTGCCTACTACAGAACAGATAGTCTGACATCTAATTATGTTTAAGTCAGTTTCATGTCTCTTAGCTTTGGACTGAACTAAAAAACATTGATTTATCTCCCTTGAATTAAAAAGTATTAGCATATAACATGTATTGCAATTTTATAATGTAACATATAAGCCCTTTTCGACTGATTTTAATTGTTTGTTCATATGTTGTACTGTTACACCACTGTCCCAGGTTAGGGGGAAAGGGGGGGCTGCTAACATGATTAACCCCACAACACTCTGTATGTGCCTGTCGCAAGTCAGGAGCCTGTAATTCAGAGGTTGTCGTTTGTTGCTGTATATCATATTTGTATTTCGTTCATTGTTTTTAACATAAATCAGGCCATTGGTTTTCTCATTTGAATTGTTTTACATTTGTCATTTCAGGGCCTTTTATATCTGACTATGCAGTATGGGTTTTGCTCATTGTTGAAGGCCACACAGTGACATATAGTTGTTAACTCTATGTCATTTGTTCTCTGGTGGAGAGTTGTCTCATTGGCAATTAAACCACATCCTCTCATTTTGTATATGACACTATATTATTCTGCCATTAAAATGAATTAAAATAAATTGAACTAGAGAGCAAGAAGAAAATTTTGTCCACTGGATTTAATGCTTCAAAGAACAAAAAAGTCCACACGGACCACATCTCAATATGCATGAGACCACCAAAAAACCAATATGTGACATCTGCCTGCAACACACAGGCACTTGTCTCAGAAATTTTTTTTCCTATATAATTTAATATTAAGGTATATAGGAAATTTTTTTTCTGAGACAAGTGCCTGTGCTGCAACATTATAAGAAATATTAGTTGTGACAACACAATTTCAAACAAAAGCCCAATTAATAACTTTGAAAAACTTGTTTTCATACCTTTTAGCATTGTTTAGAAATATAGGATAAAATGTAAAATGTACTTGTTTATATTATTTCATAGCTGTACTATACTATTTACCAACATTTGAGTCATACATTTAGACTTCTTCTAGTGAAATATAAAAAATTCTTATTTATTGTTTTAATTGTACTTAAGTTAAGAGTATGGAGTTAAGTTAAGAAAAAAATTTGAAGTACCCCATATAAACCTACAAACTCAATAAAATGAGTGAAGAACTGGTTTATCTTCATCTTATGTTTTCTGTGGACTTCATTTTCAAGTTTTTTTTCTTTCCCTTTTAAAAACAATGTTAAATGGCTAATCTTAGCTATTTTGCTAGACTTATTTAAAACTTGTTTTGGTCTTAGAGAATTCAGAGTTTGACATACATTGTACATGTACAAAATCTATGTATGGTGTAAACACTTGTCTATTGATCAGAGAGTGAACAATGTAATGTTGCTTAAATCCACTTCATTTGAACTTTGGTGGATAGTTGTCTCATTGGCAATCATACCACATCTTCTTATTATTATAATGTACATGTATGCTGAATTCTAAATGTCTTTCCTAGTATAATAATAGTTTAAGTCTCAATGATGTACAATGTATACTAGACTTTCATATATTTTCATAAAAAAAAATAACTGTAATTTCAAACCCACAATTAATGGTCAAAGATTGGTAAATAAAGAATTTAATTCTGTTTTTATTTCTATTGCACCCCCATATGGAAATTAAACTCAACTGTAAGGTTTTATTGCATTTGTCATGATTGTGTTTCTTGTCGAATGATGGTTGCCATATAGGATTCTTATCCTTTTAATGATCCATTTTTGTGATAATACACCTTATCGCTATTTAGTCCATTCCGGAAAAAACAGTCATTTATACAACTTCCTGTCTGGGTCAAGTATTGCAAAAACAAAGGTCATCAGTACTGAGCTGAGGGAGGAAAAAGTTTAGCAAGTGAACATTTTGAAATTTTGATAGGATATGGTTCAATTTTTTAAAAACAAACTAAAGTTTTAATAAACTGTTATCACAGAGATATGTCTTGCCTTTTTGTAATTTTGATAATGCAAATGTTGAAATTAAAATAGCAATACTTTAACATGTAAGTTATGCAAATATTCAAAGTCGATGAACCATGATCAGGGGTGGGGCTATATAATCTCCATGGAAAAGAAACTTGCAAATGCCAATACATTTGCATACCAAATATCATTGACTTAACATTAGCAGTTCATCTTAAACTTATCTAATCACAAACTAATACATGTACATGTAAACTAAGCAAAAGTTTCAAAGTCAATAGACCATGAATGAGGGGGCGGGGCCAAGTATTCTCCATGGAAATGAGATGTGCTAATGCTTATACAACTGCATACCAAATATCATTGACCTACCACTAGTGGTTCCCCATAAATTGACCTAATCACAAACTAATACATGTAAACTATGAAAAGTTTCAAAGTCAATAGACCTTGACTGAGGGGGCGGGGCCAAATAATCTCCATGGTAATGAGATGTGCCAATGCTAAAACAACTGCATACCAAAGAGCATTGACCTACCACTAGTGGTTCACCATGAACTAGACCTAATCACAAACTAATACATTATTGACGCCACGGCCGCCGCCGGACACAGCATACCTATGTCTCGCTTTTTGACTCCGTCAAGGCGAGACAAACATGCTTTGTTTAAATTGTTTACCATAGTTTAAACATGTTTCTTTGAAATATTTTATGCACAATACATTGTTTAGACAGGGCCCCAGATAGCTTCAACTGGATGAAAAAGGCTGTGTAATTTCAGAACTTATCTGGTTTGGAATAAATAGTGATAAGGTGTATTACACGTATATACATTTGAACATAAGCACTTCAAATTACAATCGTAACAATGTACAAAAATGTACAATGATGCACAAACAGGTTAGGGAAAATCCTCATAAATGGGTACTATCCCCATTAATGGGTATTATACCCAAAATTGGGTATCAATATACAGTGATAAAAAATCAAATTTTGTATTTTATCATGATAGCTGTCATGGCTCAAATATTCATACAAATGACAACACTTTTCCCTTTAAGACCATAGTTTAAATGAGAACTGAGTACGAAGATCACTGGTGTTAAACTGATCGTGGTAACTGCAGTTACCACGATCCCAATATGGCAGAGGTAGAAATAGGTTGAATTGTTTTTTGCTAATTTCTCCGTGTATACGTGTTGTTTTCAAGAATTACTCAGCCGCCAGGTTGATCTGTACGGTTTTGTTGTGCGTGTGTTTTTTTTAATATTATATATGGCCTCGTTACCAAAATAATAGCCATTAAAAATTTTAGGAAGATAATCGTAACTCCATAAGAAGATAATCATAACTTGTGGACAAATAACTGGAAAGATAATCATAACTGTAGAAATTTTCATTGATAATAGTAACTGATTTTTATCAGTAACCTCTGCTAACGGAATATTTGCTAAAAAGATTGCGTCATAATTACAACGATCGTTTCATGCAGTCAGTACATGTACAGCTGTCAGCTTCACTGCTTTGTGTTACTATGTCTTCTATGTATTTTCAAAACGGCTTTCTTATTTCTCACTGAGTTTTGCTCTTCAGTTCTTTTTATGTAGAGGCATCTCTTTTATCCCCAGATTTATTAATCTTTTTGTATGCTCTATTCTATCTTTTCATTAGCCATGTTAGCCTTCTTTTATCTGCCCCACCCCCCTACCCCAATGGTGACATGGGGAATAGAAATATGGTCAATCTTAGTCTTCCAACCAGCAATACAACCCTTGCCAGCCAAAGTCATGTTCAGTGGGGCATCTGTTTTGGCTGTGCAGAATGTATAAATGCACAGCTACTTCCGGTCAGAATGGGGACGTTATAAATCTTATGCCTTGTGTAGAGAGTGCCACGCTCTCTGTACGTTAAGAACCCTTGCAACAACTCTTTGAGGGGTCTGTAGGTGACCTTTTGCAAGGAAAAATTGTTCCTTCCCAACATATCCTCATTTTCCAGTGGTAGTCCAAATTTTCCGACCTTCATTCCGGACGGCCCCTATTACAGGACTTACCTATTGTATTTGTTGTTAATTTGTTCTCGTCCTCAACATGCATGAAATATTTGCCACTGGACTTTAAGCAACCAACAATCAATCAATCAATCTTATATCTGCTGCCATCAAGGGCATCCATTTTCACAGTCAACATTAATAGTCAAGAGCGCATCTGGTGCAGAACAATTGGTACCATCAATGTTACAACTACCACCAGGTCGATATCTCTGTTAGTGAACTGTATGTCCCAGAGAGTATCACCAGCCCAGTAGCCAGTACTTTGGAACTCAAAAATGGATATTGATTGATAGAAATTTGCTGTCATACAATTTTAAAAATCATTAAAAATACAGAATACATCGATCATCTCTTCTTTAAATACATGTATATCATTATCATTTACCGTAAATTTTAACTTGTAAAATATATAGACTTTATATATATATCTACAAACATGACAAAGCAAAAAGTAAATTAGTTTAAGATAACCAATTATTCAGTAATTTAGTCACACTACCAAATTTTTACAAGGCAATAAATATTAAAAAAAACACACACACAACAAAACCGTACAGATCAACCTGGTGACTTATTAATTCTTGAAAACAACAAGTACATGAAGTATACCATGTATACAAGGAGAAATTAGCAGAAAGTGATTTAACCTATTTCTACGTCCTGCAGTTACCACGATCAGTTTAACACCAGTGAAGATAATGGCCTCCAAATTATAAATATCCTACATTTTGAAGGCTGTTAACTTTTATCCTCATAATATTTCAGCCATGGTGTCTTCAGACAAAATGTTGTCCTTTACCCTAATGTTTGCGCCATGACAGAAAATATCTGTAAATCCAAAGTTTATATTTTTATCACTGGAAATTGATACCCGTTTTGGAGTATAATATCCATAAATGAGGATAGTACCCATATATGAGGATCCTCCCCAACCTGACAAAATGTATGTCATAATAACATACAAATGTATGTGACTTTTCAGGTCAACTTTCACCCGATCTATACCTTTCCAAATCTCTCCTTATATCTGGATCCCTGAAATCTGCATTGGTGATAAATTCTTCAAAATGTCTTCTATCTGATCCTCCAACAAGATCATCAAGTAAGATGTCCTCTGAAGAAGTGTCTTCATCATCAACATCCAAAAATTCTTTGAACTCTGTGGCTGAAAGACTTCGTCTTTTTGAGTGTCCTCTGTCTCTTAGATGTCTCACACTAAATGACAAAAATGATGGTCTATAAATAGCTGTCACTGCAAACTTTGTTGCTTTGCAGAGTGTTTGTAAAGTCATTCTGAAATGACAGCATGTCAATGTTTATATTTTACAGTAAAGTGGTAATTTAATGTACGCGAATTTGTTTATTTATTTATTACAAGTTGTGAACAGAAAACATATAAGCAAAGAACATATTACAAATCATTTAAAGATATTTATAATTATTTAAAAGAAATATATCATAATGAATTGATTAAATATGAAGATAATAATATGAAATCTGCACTTTACTTGCAAAATGTCACTTCCGGATTTTTTTTCATGAAAGACTACTGAGATGGAAAATCAGACAACTCTAAGTAATACTCCAACAATCAGTTCATGTCCGATTCCAGAATACGTTCTTGACGACCTATGTAGGTCAGTAAGCAATCTAGATTTATAAGAGTAAAAATAGAAATCACATTCCGTATTATTCGGTGAAAATCTTATGTTCATGTTTGCAAATTATCCAAAGAAATTTTTATGATATACTTAAATTGGCAGTCCTAAAAATCGAATCCGTGTCTATTCGCCCTGATTCACGTTCGCCCTAATACCGGTTTGCCCTGGGTCCGTTCGCCCTAATTTTTATTTTATGTTGTCTTGTCAATGCTTGTGGTTGCTTGTTGTATAATGAGGGTAGTAATGCCCTTTACCGTCAGGCGTCAAACGGTCATTTTCGTTTTACCGTTAGCGTCAAATTGGTTAAAATTTTACCGTGATTTGTCAAAATATCCTTAACGTGATTCGTCAGAGGTCTCAAATAATTATTGTTTGCGTCTTTTTTGGAAAAATATTAATGTGATGCATCAAATTCAGGCGATTTATTTATCGTCTTAAAGAAAGTACATTTTATCGTCATGCACCAAAAATTACCATTAACGTCATTTGGCAAGAATTTTTACCGTTATTCGTCATGAAGGTACCCCCATTACTACCCTCTATAATGTATATTATTAAAAAAAGCATCTTAAAGTTTTTTTTGATTTAGCTGAATATTTATTGTATTTTTGTTGTATTCATGGCATTGCTGCTACCAGATAATTATTTTTCTTTGATTTGCACTAAAGTGTACAGCAATTCAAAATATTTAATATAAAACAACTAAAGATCAAGTTATCTGTATGTATTTTTCTATATTGATACATGTACATTACACTAATTTCTAATTATTAACAGTTGTAACAAGATCCAACTCGAATTCAGTCATTCGCTTCACACACCAGTTATGTCTCTGAGTTATGTCCTAACACTATTATTTTAAAGAGGCTCTGAGCACTGAATTAAATTCTATAAAATATTCTATAAAAAAAAAATACTAAAAAGACCCAATCACACAGCCATTTACTCTACATTTCTACACCATGATTTACTTAATAAAACAAACTTAATATAAAAAAAGCCAACCTGCAAAAAAAAATCCTTCAAATGTCCAAGTCTTAAGGGCATACGATACAGTTACAGGGGAGGTAATGACGTTGCTAACGTAAATTGTTATTTTCGCGACGTCAAACTGTGACTTGTTGGGAAAAGAATCAGTTTTCGACTGATTTTTATCATTCAAACTGATTTAACTTGAAAACGAGTTCATGGACCCCTCTTTTTTAAAGTGACATTTGGTTTGATTACGTATGAAGATTATGTATACTAATTTTCATGAATAAGTCAATAGTGCAATTTTTTTAAATTTGATAAATATACAGCAAAAAATGGCGTTATTTTTCTACATTCATGAACAGTGTTTATCTTTTAAAACAAAAAGTTATGTATTTCTGTCGAAAGGAAAAATACGTCCACAAATCAGAATTTTGAGGAAATATCTGAAATTTCAACCTCAATTTACTCAAAAAGTAGCACATGATGGTATATTTTTTATTACATATTTGATTTAATCAGGTAAAAAAAAGCCTATATGCAAATTTTCATCATAATTTCAATATGGGATCAAAACTGTATCGTACATGTATGCCCTTAATACAATTCGTACATCATTGTTTTCACTCATTCCAAGCTGACTATTTAATTTTCCATATCAATCCACCAAAGGCAATTAATACAACAACCAGTGAGATCAAAGACATCATAATAATGCCCAATCAGCATTCTAAATTGCAATTAACAGCCATTAAAAGTAAATCTAAATTCAAAAAATGTAACAATGAAGGCAATTATTGCTAGGAAAAAACCCATTAATTTTTATACGACCGCAAAAAAATTTTGTGGTCGTATATTGGTATGACGTTGGCGTCGTCGTCGTCGTCGTCCGGTGTCGTCGTCCGAATACATATTGGTTTTCGCACTCTAACTTTAGTTTAAGTGAATGGATCTTTTTGAAATTTGACCATAAGGTTAAATACCACAAAAGGAAGATTGGGATTGATTTTGGGGGTTATGGTACCAACAGTTAAGGAATTAGGGGCCAAAAAGGGGCCAAAAATGAGCATTTTCTAGTTTCCAGACAATAACTGTGGAACGGTGTATGGATCTCTCTGAAATTATACTACAAGTTTCCATACCACAAAGGGACGGTTAGGATTTGCTTTGGGGGGTTATGGCTCAAACCGTTTAGGAATTAGGGGCAAAAAAGGGGGAAAAACAAGGTTGTCCTGGTTAATGGACAAATACTTTAGTACAAAACATAATTTAAAGCAGTGTAAGGGAGATAAATCAAATACATCATTGAAATTATCTCCCTTACACTGCTTTTAAATTATGTATAAAGTAATGGTTAATGAACAATAAAGATAATCTAAAACAGTGTAAGGGAGGTAATCCAAATACAACGTTTTGGTTACTTCCCTTACACTGCTTTTAAATTATGTTTAAAGAAATGCATATTTATAAAGGAAGACCAGTAAAAATATCTGCAAATGTTTTCATCTTTTTTTTTTACAAAAAAATCCATATGAAAGATTTGACACTATATTTTTATTAATTCTATTATAAAATAGATTAAGTTAGCACTATGGTAAATTTAAATGGGTAATTATGGTTGCCAACTCCATTGGAAATTTGAATTGAGATTATGACCATATCTTGAGGGAAAGAATTTTTTTGGGGGAAAAAGGGGGGGGGGATAAAAAGAAATTGTGGGGGGCCAATTTTTTCTCATTTCAGATTTCAGAAATTAAAAAGAATTATTCTTCAAATATTATTTTTTTTTCAAATTTCAAATATTGAAAAATTTCAAGAAGTAATCTTTAATTGCACAGTATGGCGCATTAGATTTGTAAAATCTTTGATCATATTTATTTATTTGTTATGCCGAATCTAACAGTGTATTTAGATTTTTAATTTTGGGTCCAGTTTTCAAATTGGTCTACATTAATGTCCAAAGGGTCCAAAATTAAACTTTGTTTGATTTTAGCAAAAATTGAATATATGAGGTTCTTTGATATGCTGAATCTAAACGGGAAGGATTGTGCCTGATATTCATATGATGAAGACATAATCTTTCAATCAGTTTAATTGAAGTCTGGAGCTGGCATGTCAGTTAACTGCTAGTAGTCTGTTGTTATTTATGTATTATTGTCATTTTGTTTATTTTCTTTGGTTACATCTTCTGACATCAGACTCGGACTTCTCTTGAACTGAATTTTAATGTGCGTATTGTTATGCGTTTACTTTTCTACATTGGCTAGAGGTATAGGGGGAGGGTTGAGATCTCATAAACATGTTTAACCCCGCCGCATTTTTGAGCCTGTCCCAAGTCAGGAGCCTCTAGCCTTTGTTAGTCTTGTATTATTTTTAATTTTAGTTTCTTGTGTACAATTTGGAGTTTAGTATGGCGTTCATTATCACTGAACTAGTATATATATTTGTTTAGGGGCCAGCTGAAGGACGCCTCCGGGTGCGGGAATTTCTCGCTGCATTGAAGACCTGTTGGTGACCTTCTGCTGTTGTCTGTTCTATGGTCGGGTTGTTGTCTCTTTGACACATTCCCCATTTCCATTCTCAATTTTATGTATTTAGATTTTTGATTTTTGGCCCAGTTTTCAAGTTGGTCCAAATTGGGGTCCAAAATTAAACTTTGTTTGATTTCAACAAAAATTGAATATATGGGGTTCTTTGATATGCTGAATCTAACCATGTATTTAGATTTTTTATTTGTGGACCCCGTTATCTAATTGGTTCATATTGAGGTCAAAAGGGTCCAAAATTAAACTTTGTTTGATTTCATCTAAAATTGAATTATTGGGGTTCTTTGATATTCCAAATCTAACCGTGTATTTAGGTTTTTAATTTTGGGTCCTGTTTTTTAAATTGGTCTACATTGAGGTCCAAAGGGTCCAAAATTAAACTTAGTTTGATTTTAACAAAAATTGAATTCTTGGGGTTCTTTGATTTGCTGAATCTAAACATGTGTTTAGATTTTTGATTATGGGCCCAGTTTTCGAGTTGGTCCAAGATAGGGTCCAGTATTTAAACTTTGTTTGATTTCAACAAAAATTGAATATATGGGGTTCTTTGATATGCTGAATCTAAACATGTATTTAGATTTTTGATTATGGGCCCAGTTTTCAAGTTGGTCCAAATTGGGGTCCAAAATTAAACTTTGTTTGATTTCAACAAAAATTGAATATATGAGGTTCTTTGATATGCTGAATCTAACCATGTATTTAGATTTTTTATTTGTAGGCCCCGCTATCAAATTGGTTCATATTGAGGTCAAAAGGGTCCAAAATTAAACTTTGTTTGATTTCATCGAAAATTGAATTATTGGGGTTCTTTGATATGCCAAATCTAACCGTGTATTTAGATTTTTAATTTGGGTCCCATTTTTTAAATTGGTCTTCATTGAGGTCCAAAGGGTCCAAAATTAAACTTAGTTTGATTTTAACAAAAATTGAATTCTTGGGGTTCTTTGATATGCTGAATCTAAACATGTGTTTAGATTTTTGATTATGGGCCCAGTTTTCAAGTTGGTCCAAGTTGGGGTCCAAAATTAAACTTTTTTTGATTTCAACAAAAATTGAATATATGGGGTTCTTTGATATGCTGAATCTAACCATGAATTTAGAATTTTTATTTGTGGGCCCCGCTATCAAATTGGTTTATATTGAGGTCAAAAGGGTCCAAAATTAAACTTTGTTTGATTTCATCAAAAATTGAATTATTGGGGTTCTTTGATATTCCAAATCTAACCGTGTATTTAGATTTTTAATTTTAAGTCCCGTTTTTTAAATTGGTCTACATTAAGGTCCAAAGGATCCAAAATTAAACTTAGTTTGATTTTAGCAAAAATTGAATTCTTGGGGTTCTTTGATATGCTGAATCTAAACATGTGTTTAGATTTTTGATTATGGGCCCAGTTTTCAAGTTTGTCCAAGTTGGGGTCCAAAATTAAACTTTTGTTTGATTTTAACAAAAATTGAATATATGGGGTTCTTTGATATGCTGAATCTAACCATGTATTTTGATTTTGGACATTGGACCATAATAGGTAAATTAAAAAAATTCAAGTTCTTAGACCACATTCTTTCTGTGTCAGAAACCTATGCTGTGTCAAATATTTAATAACAATCCAAATTCAGAGCTGTATCAAGCTTGAATGTTGTGTCCATACTTGCCCCAACTGTTCAGGGTTCGACCTCTGCGGTCGTATCAAGCTGCGCCCCAGCGAAGCATTTTATTTAATATTACCATGTCTCTTTCATGTATGTTGAGAAATATTTATTTTCTTTAATATAATATTTACCATATAAATATCCGAATAAGCTTAATACCATTAATATTTGAAATATTTATTTTTATAAAAGAAAGGTGAACGGGCTCTATGGGCAAACAAACCAAGGGCGAACATGTTATTAGGGCGAACAGACCCGATACCCTTATATTCAGGGGGTTATGCAATAATTCACAGAAAAACTTCATGTACAGTTTACTAAGTATATAAACCAAAACAATGTACAAAAATGTACATTGTAGGGAAGCAGTTGAATGTGACCCCCTCCTGTCTGAATTCCATGGGTAATAAGTGCACCAAGACATTTTGGCACCTTGTTCCAAAGACAAATCAGCACCATTTTGGCATTAGGACATTTCAGGACCAATTCAAATCAGCACGTCGTTTTTTATCTCTATATTTTCATGATACATGTACATGTATCATACACCTTATCGCTATTGGTCCGCCATTACTTGACATCACATAAATCTCCGTAAAATTTCGAGGTCACAAGAGAAAATGTCTGACGCCTCAAAGGAAAAGTGAGTTTTGTATGACATCAATAGTTCAAGTGTCGCAAATTCTTGGTTCAAGTGTATCAGATCCCCAAATAGTGGTAAGGTCTATTAAAAGTTAAGAAACAAGAATGTGTCCATAGTACACGGATGCCCCACTGGCACTATCATTTCTATGTTCAGTGGACTGTGAAATTTGGGTAAAAACTCTAATTTGGCATTAAAATTAGAAAGATCATATCACAGGGAACATGTGTACTAAGTTTCAAGTTGATTGGACTTCAACTTCATCAAAAACTACCTTGACCAAAAACTTTAACCTTAAAAACTTTAACCTGAAGCGGGACGGACGAATGAACGAACGGACGCACAGACCAAAAAACATAATGCCCATAGCATGCATAGATGGGGCATAAAAATAATGATTAAAAATGATTTAACATTACTGATAAAAAACCAAGAATTTTGGTAGTGATATTTAAATCCTTTCATAAAATATGCCAAAAAAAATTAACATATATAATCAAATCATAACTGATTGTAGTTACAAATGCATTAATCAATATTATATGTTAGTTTATAATGAGTTTTGATAATTTCTCACTGTGATAATTTTCACAGTGTGAGTGCTCAAAGAAGAGAGAAAAAAACATTTGCTTCTACTGACCCTGGGAATAGTATACTGCCCTTTGGTCGGTTTGTTGTCTCTTTGACACATTCCCTGTTTCCATTCTCAATTTTATTGTCATTATATTATGTCCCATTTCTGATGTTTTAAATTTCCGAACAGAGAACATGTATTTAATCTAAAAAAGTCTTAATCAGTATCAGGCCACTGTGGCCACCGAATTAGTTGTTTATAATAAGGTCTGAAAGCTTAACAGTGGAATATAAACATAGCTTTCTGAGGTGCCGATTTTTCTTGATACTGAACTGTCTTTCTCTGGTGCCGATTTGTCTTGGTGGTGAAGTGTCTAGAATTCAATTACATGTATCATGACAAGACCTGAATGACAAGAGTTACCTAAAAATATCTCCATCATTGCCCATGTATAGAACCTAAAAATATCTCCGTCATTGCCCATGTATAGAACCTAAGAATATCTCCATCATTGCCCATGTATAGAACCTAAGAATATCTCCATCATTGCCCATGTATAGAACCTAAAAATATCTCCGTCATTGCCCATGTATAGAACCTAAAAATATCTCCATCATTGCCCATGTATAGAACCTAAGAATATCTCCATCATTGCCCATGTATAGAACCTAAAAATATCTCCATCATTGCCCATGTATAGAACCTAAAAATATCTCCATCATTGCCCATGTATAGAACCTAAAAATATCTCCATCATTGCCCATGTATAGAACCTAAAAATATCTCCATCATTGCCCATGTATAGAACCTAAAAATATCTCCATCATTGCCCATGTATAGAACCTAAAAATATCTCCATTATTGCCCATGTATAGAACCTAAAAATATCTCCATCATTGCCCATGTATAGAACCTAAGAATATCTCCATCATTGCCCATGTATAGAACCTAAAAATATCTCCATCATTGCTCATGTATAGAACCTAAAAATATCTCCATCACTGCCCATGTATAGAACCTAAGAATATCTCCATCATTGCCCATGTATAGAACCTAAAAATATCTCCATCATTGCCCATGTATAGAACAACTGTGCTCAAGCTTTGAATATGAAAAAGTTTGGTTTAGTTTTAGTATCTATGTCTCACTCACTGTTATCACTCCTATGTGTATACATGGACTAAAAATAATTGATCCTCAAAAGTATGAAATGAAAGATTTAATAATGAGATACAATATGTAAACCATAGCCTGATCAATCATGAATGGTCTTATATACCATGCTGGCTCTTACTTTCCTTAAAACTGAAATTTTTGATACATTAGCAAATACACTTTATTTATAGTATATGTATGTTCATAGCATGCAGAAAAACACGAAAATAATTGAAATTAATAACAAACAAAAAAGAACGGCTTTTGAAAAAGGGTAATAAAAAATTGTCCCCAAGTACCTATGACTTTTGATACCTTTCCTGAAATTCTCCAGTCATAAAATCTTTTACAAAAATTCATCCTACAACAGTTTACATACTTTCAACCACGCTCTAAATGCCTGCGATTTCGCGGGTGTGTTCTAGTGTAGCTAATACATGTACTTTGAAGGGTAATAGCTATATATAGCTCTATGATAGAGGTTAGCCAGATTTGAACATATGGACATTGGCTATATACATTGTTTTTATGGGCCTGGTTTATTGTAAATCATGCACACTGGTCACTTGAACAGACACTGGTGTAGTATCTTCACACATAGATTTATTTATGTACATTGTACTTCAGTATAGAGATTGAATAATCAATAATTGATGAATTTTGACAAAGGTGTAAAAAAAAATCATTATATATTTCTTGTTACAAAATAATCGTAATATATGTTTTTTTTGTTTTTTTTTTGCAGTCGTTTCATCATCAACATACCGGAAGAAGAAAGACAGGATTTAATTCGAATTTTCTTCCAGATTGAGTTAGCTCATTGGTTTTACTTAGACTTCTACTGTGCAGAGAATTCAGAACTTAAAACTTGTGGAATCAAAGATTTCTCATCTCAAGATATCCTTATACTAAGTTTCAGAAAATAAGATCTCAAAATATGTACATTGTATATATGTGAATTATGAATTTAAATGTACAAATGTATAATGAAATACAAATACCCTGTAGGTTTGTTTGGAGAATTTATGTAAAACACAAAATCATGTATACAGAACAGTACAATTTTTCCTGAATCCACAAAAATTGGTACCATTGAAAATAAAAGAATCAGAAGTAGATGGCTAATTGTTCAGTCAGTAAATTGGCAAGAGCACAGCTGTTACAAATATGTCACTGAAGTCTGTCAAGAAGTCTGCTGTGAAAAATATATGATAATGAGGCTTGCATGTTATACAACATGTGCATTTGTACTATGGTATCTTTAGATAAAAAATAAAGTTAATCTAACAAAAACAAATAACATTTCAAAAGAAGACAACTCCTTCTCCCATACCCCTTTCAACTAAATAAAAACCCACACATAAAACCCCTACTTACATGTAGGAAAAATGGAAAATATCCTCTCATTGAAAAAGTGCAGGAGAACGTCAAGTGGAAATTCAAAAAACATACACTGAAGAAAACAACAGACTCAATGACTTAAAGAAAAAAGAGAAAAATGATTGTCCACAATACAGAAAACTAAAGATTGAACAACATACTGTGGATTCATTATTATTCGTGGTATACCAATTTTCGTGGGTTTCGTGGGTCACAGCAAACCACGAATTTAAGAATTCAACGAAAAATAATCCCGAGAAATGTGTATGGAGTCGGATGTTTATTTCCGGTTATGTTATGCAGTTCCAGTATAGTGTTGACTAGCGATAAACATTTTAACATAACACGTGTTTTTATTGAAATAAGATACAAGTATTTTGATAAAATCAATAATAAATATATCGAATATCAATGATAGTTTACTTTTTAAAATTGATTAAAACTGTTCAAGAAAAATAACTGCAAGTTGTTTATTACCGTGTCATAGTTTGGTTTACTGGTGATTAAAAAACAATAGGATTAAGTACGGGGATATTGCCCGTAGGTAATATTGTTTATGACAGGAACATTTATTTTCAAACCTTTAACTTATATGACTGTTAATTATATCGTGATTAAGGAAATGAGATTTCAATCAAAGAGTTTTGAATGCCTTATAAAATTCCGACAAGAATTTATAAATTGTAAAACAAACAAATAATTTGTCTCTGTCCATTATTGTAAAAGAAGTTTTCAATGAACACTTTAACCTAGAATGACCAAGATTTTGACAATTCAAAACTTTTTCAATGAATTCCTATTTTTTTGTTTGTTTTTTTTTTGATCAAACCAAGGATTTTCTAAATCAAAAAGAAATCTATGAATTACGTATCTGATTTTTTCTTTTTTTTGTAATCAGCGATCCACGAATTTACGTATACCACGAAACGTCTTTTTTCTCTATCCACGAAAATTGATACCCACGAAAATAAATGAATCCACAGTAGACCATGATGAACCTAAGTGAAAACCTGAGGTGAACTTGATAATTTTAAACATTTTAAACACACCTAATTTTATTCAGAACAACTCAGTTACACAATTTAAATATAAAATACCTTATTAACTTTCCCTAAACATTTATAGTAAAACACTGTAAAAAGTAAATTTTGATGCTTTATATCTTCTTTAACTACTTGCACTATTTAAGCACTGTCCTTTTCTGAGTGGACATGCTGGAGAAGTGGATAAGATTTTGGAGAACTGGAAATCCTACAAGATGAGTGTGCCAACTTATGGAGCCATTATCTTAGACCCAGAAATAAAGCATGTAAGTATCACATAATCACATTGTAGAAAAATGATTATCTTACAAGATGAGTGTGCCAACTTGAGGAGCCATTATCTTGGTAAAAGTTCCCAGTATAGAGCTTTTCAGTACTTTGCAGAAAGTTACTCAGAGATAGAGGCGTCAGTCACTCATAAAACTTACTCAGTAATAGAGTTTGTTAAGAACTTTTAAGAAAGTTTCTCAAAGATCAAGTTGTCAGTCATTCATAGAACATACTCAGAAATAGAGTTTGTCAAGACTTTTCAGAAAGTTACTCAGAAATAGAGTTGTCAGTCACTCATAGAACTTACTAAGTACAAATGTAATAGAATTTGTCAAGAACTTTTCAGAAAATTACTCAATAATAGAGTTGTCAGTCACTCATAAAACTTACTGAGTAATAAAAATGGTCAGTTGCATTTTGTACTCACAAAAATGTCTCCATGATACTAACTAACATATTTATATTTTACTTGCATTAGAAATAATACAGTCCACAAGCAAATACTTGTTCAACTTCATTATTTGTTCATTTAAATCTCTATACATCTATTACACTACATCTTTACAAACTTGACTTCTAATCAATATTGAGTAGTATATGCATTATCTCCCAGAATTTTTTTTTTGGTAGGTTTTATTAGTACAAGGATTTTGGACCAAATCAAGCTGGGGATTTCCTAAAGGCAAAGTAAATGAGAATGAACCACCATATGATTGTGCTTGTAGAGAGGTATGTATAAATCCCTAAAGACAAGGTAAACAAGAATGAACCACCATATGATTGTGCTTGTAGAGAGGTATGTATAAATCCTTAAAGACAAGGTAAACAAGAATATACCACTATATGATATGAGAGTTCAGAGATTGTGTAAAATGAAATCTGACATTGGTGAACAGACTACCTCTTAAGTATTGTTAAAGACGAAGTGAACAAAAAAAGAATAGCCGTATGCTTGTGCTTGTAGAGAGGTATGTATAAATCCCACATAATAATTGCTTGGAAAGGGGGGGGGGTGCTTTATGGTATATGACAAGGTTGAGAAATTAGGATAAAAAATATATAAAAAGGATGCTGATTAAAACAGAAGTATCTGAAACTAATCCCCCCAGAATAACTGTGCTTGTAGGGAGATATGTATTAATCCCTAAAGACAAAGGGATAGTCCAACAACGTCCTGTATTAGAACAAACAATGATTTAGATTAAGAACAAAATCATAAAATAAAAGAGGAATACAAAATCAGGTCTTCGGTAGGATAGGAAAGGAATTCTGCAAAAGTTGATAAACTAAGCATTGGATAGGTATATCTATTCTGGTACACTTGTAACATGAACCAGTGAAATACTTTCTTCATATAATCAATCTTGGTTCTGTCATATTCAGGGGATTGTTTATAGAAATCTATTTATGCAGTTTTCAAAAGCTATCTGTATTTTTTTGTTTGTATTTTTAATTTTCAGGTGTTAGAGGAAACGGGTTTTGACATCACCAAATTGATAGACAGAAATGAATATTTAGAAAATCATTTCAATGATCAGCTGACCAGATTATATATAGTACCCGGAGTTCCCCTTGATACCAAATTTAAACCAAAGACCAGGAAGGAAATAAAGGTGAGTGTGGTTTCCTCTATAAGCTGTAAGCTATTTTTGTGATTAAATTTCACAATTTTCTAGCACCATTTAGTCATAAGATTTTACTTTTGCATTTTTTATATGCCCGTCATGTTGGACATTAACTCAAAAATGCTTTAACGTTGATTTACGTTTCCGGGTTTTATTCATAAAAAAGGGGGATTTTCCAGTTTTCGGGCAAAAAATCAAAAATGCTTTCAGCAGTTCTTATGAAACTTTGGTGAATTGTTTATATTTATTGATGTAAGCTCCGTTTAGAATTTTATAAATTTTTCATTTATCATTTCTGAGTTATGGGGTTAAAAAAGGGGTGATTTTCCAGTTTTCCGACAAAAACTCAAAAATGCTGTCAGCAATTTTCATAAGACTTTGGTGAATTGTTTATATCTATTGATGTAAGCTCCCTTTACATTTTCATAAATTTCTAATATGACATTGAAAATTAATTGAACTTTATTTGTTTATAGTCTGACAACAGATTTACTAAGTATTGCGCAACAGCACAGTGTATTGCACCGCAGCAAGAAATCTTTAATTGAATATAAGTTCAATTCATATAACCAATTTCAAGTTCTTTGACTACATTTATTCAGAAACCTATAATATGTCAAATATTTAATTACAATCCAAATTCAGACCTGTATCAAGCTTGAATATTGTGTCCATTTTTGCCCCAACTGTTCAGGGTTGGACCTCTGCAGGCGTATCCAGCTGCGCTCAGCGAAGCAGTTTATTTTCCCTGCTTCAAAACTTCCATTTTAAAGAAAATTAACTAGAGGGGATATTTTCTCGATTTTATCTGACTCGATTTTATCTGAATTCCAAAATAAGCGAAAATAAATCTTTTGTGGAAATTTACCACATTACAGTAAAAGTAGAGTCTGCAGTGGTTCTCTTTAGAAGTTGTGAACATTGAACATATTATTATTTCAGACTTTACGGTGGTTCTCAACAGAATTTGTTAAGATTGAACCGGTTTATATTTCAGAGTTTGCAGTGGTTCCCTATGGATGCATTACCTGCACATAAAAGAGATATGACACCAAAAATGTTAAACATGACACCAAATAATTTCTTTATGGTTATTCCTTTTGTGAAGTAAGTTTTGGTAGCTTAGATAGATATTTTAGCAGTAGTTCTAAATTAACATACAATTCAATCTAAGAAATAAAAAATTCAAGTAGACTATGTCTTATGAACATGATAAAAGGAAATGAATTTCCACATTATAATAAAATCAAAAACACTTGTGAATTTTTCAGCCACTTTCATGCAAAGTAAAAAGCCTTATTTCAAGATGTATATACTACCAAAAGTTCCTTAAAAGTGGTTGAATTACAATGGATATGAAATAAATGGCAAATGTAAAATCTCAACAACATGTCTATGCATTTCAGTTATTATGTAATTAATCACTTGGATCTGACATAGACTCGTACTTGAATTTGTTATTTTTGTAAAAATTAATCTGATTAAAGTGAAAAGGTACAGCATTTTGTAAAACAGATAACAATATATATAAACCCTAAATAAAATTGAGAAAAATTATTTGGGTAGTTTATTTTACTGCAAAGGTTTATATCTCTTTCATATATATTATATTATTTTATCAATCTTTAAATTTGAAATATATATTTTTTACATGCTTTATAAAGAGTAAATTTTGATATAATACTTGAAGACCTAATTGTTTAACTAATTCATTTCAATAACTTTTTATTTTGTGTATTTCCCTCTCCCAGAAATATTAGGAAATGGATCAGAAATAAACTGTTCCCACAAGAAACAGATTCAGATCCACAAGGACATATCAATCTACAAAAACAGATGAAAAACAGAGATAGAGAGAATAAAAAACTTAAACTACAACAGTATTTTGCTCAGCAGTGCCAACAGGAATACCAAGAGTTGTATCCATTGAAAGATGGTCAACAGAACAGTACACGATCAGTATCTCCTAGGAAAGATACATTTTATAAATCTAGACAGCAAGTGTCACCTGTCCAACAAAAAACACCTAAATTATTGGTTAGTATATAGATATAGAGTTGTATCTCCTAAAGATTGTTAGCAGGAAAGAAAACACCTAAATTATTGGTTAGAATAAAGAGTTATATCTTCTATAAGCTGGTCAGCAGGAAAGATAAATTCTATAAATCTAGACAGCAAGGGTCACCTGTTCAACAAAAACAGGTAAAACTATTGGTTAGCATATAGAGTAATATCTTCTATAAGATGGTCAGCAGGAAAGATAAATTCTATAAATCTATGCAGTTAGGGTAACCTGTTCAACAAAAACACCTTAAATTATTGGTTAGTATATAGAGTTATATCCCTTGAAAGATGGTTAGCAGGAAAGACAAATTCTCTAAATCCAGAGAGCAAGGGTCACCTTTTCAACAGAAAACACCTTAATTGTTGGTTAGTATATGAAATTTTATCCTGAAAAGATGGTCAGCAAGTAAGATACATTCTATAAATTTAGAGAGAACTGATCACCTTTTCAACAGAATTATTGGTAAGTAAATGGAGTTACATCCCCTAAAAGGTGATTTTTGGGACACATTTCTGTCCTTGTAGCAAAAATTCTGAGGAACCCTCAATGAATAGAACAGTTTTGATTTTGTTTTACACCTTTTAGTCCCTGTAGTGTAAATTCTATACAAATAAACCCTGAATAAACAGAACATCATTAAATGATGTTTAAGACCCATGTTAGTCCCTGTAGTGTAGTTCTTTACTATGAAACCCTCAATGAATAGATCATCATTGATTCATGGGAAACCTTTTATCCCTGTAGTGTAGTTCTATAAGATATAACCCTTTCTGAATAGAACAACATCATTTTACCCCTCTCCAAAGGAGGTAGTTATACTGTTTTGCCCCTGTCTGTCCATCTGTCCCATGAATTTTCCACCACAATTTTCTCAGGAACAATAATTCAGATCTTCCTGAAATTTGTAAACATGCTATACAGTGTAATGCGTTTTCAGATTCATCCTGTATCAACTTCCTGTTCACCGAGTACTTATATATTTTAATACATTATGGCCGTGTATGAAATTGTTGGTTGCTATTTTCAAGGGAACAAATAACCTAAATTTTGTTATCAGGCTTCATGTGAACACCATATTATATGTGAAGAATTTTTTCCATTGATCTTCAACTTCCTGTTAACCGAATTCCTAATAAGGGGTATTATTAGTGAAAAGTAGCTCACAGTTCTACTAGTTAAGTCCATGTAGTGTAATTCTATACTATGAAATCCTTAATGAATTGGACATCATTGATTCATGGGACACCTTTTAGTCCCTGTAGTGCAAATTCTATACTATGGACCACAAAAAAATAGAACATCATTGATTTTTGGGACACCTTAAAGTCCCAGTAGTGAAAATTCTATGCTAAAGCCACAAAAAATAGAACATCGTTGATGTTGAGACACCTTTTATTCCTTGTAGTGTAAATTCTGTACTATGGAACCCGAAATAAATATAACAACTCTATGACTACAGATTGTTGAAAAAACCTGTTTCACAGTATTCAATTCTGTTGAATTTTTGTATCTGTATTTTATTAATGACTTTCTTAAGACTTAATTCACTGCACATTAATTTGTTTCCATCAAAAGAAAGATTAACAAGGTCCATGGAATCCACTTTACTATTGATTATAAAATAAAATATTTTTTCCAGAACAGAGATGGTACGATATCTGGGGGAGGGGGAACACCAAGAAGAAGTTTAGCAAGTCAGTTTGATAATCAGGGTAGGTATTATCTTTATTTCTAGGAAATACAATTTTAGAACACTTCAAGTGTCCAAATACTCTATACAAAGTAAATAATGTCATCATCATCATGCCACTTCACTTTTTTCTCTTTTCTTAATTCCTGTGAAGTAAGATTTATTTCCCTTTAGGATGTTTTCATGTATATGTAGTTTATTTGGCTATTTTTAAATTAACAAACAATACTTGCTGATGTTGTCTGTGATCTATTAATTCTTGTTTACCTTTAAGATAAGGCCCTATTACAAAGCACACATGTATACCTGTTTTAAAACATCTTGCTTTATGTTTGTATTGAAAAAAATGAATGTTTTTCTGCTTTTATATACCAAAGCTAGACATGCTAAATACAATATCTTTGAAAATATTTTTAGTTAAATTTGTCACAGACAGAATCAATAAATAATATATTTGACCAATCAAAACCCTGAAGAGGGCAATGAGGGCAATTCACAGTTATAAATTAAGACATACCAACATAAACGTTTCAACAAAATAAAGCTTAAAAAGAGTCATATAGAAACACAGCATGACTGTTTTAAGTGGCTGAAAGAAACTTAAGCTATATACACAATGCATTTTATTTCACAAATATATATTATTCCAGATTATTTTAAATACTACTGAAGTAGCTAAGAATGTTTGTTATATTTTTTATCAGCAAGTGCCCAATCATATGCCAAGGTCTAAATTATCCTCAACTTATACAAGTTGTGAATGAATTCAATAAAGATGAACAAAGATGTGACAGCAAAATATCCCTTTGAATGGGTGAATGGTTGAAAAGCTAAAAACATTTACAGGGTTTGTTTTGAGATTAATCTTCAGATATATTTACAGGTTTAGCATCAAAAGAAAGACCAGACTACAGACAGCCACAAGAAAAATCTGACTTTTTCAACAGAATGTTAGTGAATCCAGAATCTCCTTTAGAATCTCAGGACAGAACTGAATTCTCCAACCGTCCTACAAAGGATCGGACAGATCATCAAAAACGTTACGACAGAGCTAACCAGAACAGACCAACATATAACAAACAATTGTATGAAAAGACAGGGAACCCCTTACAGGATAGACAGAGACAAGCTCACAATAGTCCGAGGCTGAAACCTCATCATACAGATAAAAATAGATCAACTTTTACGAAACCTTATGTTCAAGATAAAAAATTTGTCCCAATAACTGATCCTGATGGACTTGGTTCAGAAACATGGCTGAACTTTAAACTTGATATTGATGCTGTTATGTCTTGTTTAGCTTAATGTGAAGTAATACTTGAGTTAGCTTGTGCTATCTACCATGATAGGAGGATGAATTCTTGTATTGAACTTTATTTTGATGGAGATGTTGTGACAAGCTGAGTAGTATTTGTATTTTTGTAACTGATAGTGTGATGAAATGTAAAGTGCTAGTTATTGATACTGTAACTGTAGTAAATACATGAACTACACACAAATGTCAGTATCATTTGTCAAATGTGGCTGATTAAGTTTTTGAAAATTTAATGCATCTGAGGTAATATTTTATGAAATATACACAAAAGTATGAGTAGTAGTGGATTTTTGGTATATGTCATTTCAACAGCAATCCAGCAACACTAAAACAACTACAGATTTCTATGGGCCAACAATTGATAAGTGTTTACACAACATGATAAGCACCAGACCCACCCAAGTTAAGCAAGCAAAGAAGAAATCGCACAGACTACATGTATTAGAATATATCAAGATGTTTCTTGTGTTTATCTTGCTCTATTTACATATAGATAAAAATTACGGATTTTCCATTTTGAATTTTCCTCAGAGTTCAGTATTTTTGTGATTTAACTTTTTATCAGAGGCAAACAAATATTGAACAAGTCTATAGCTTCTCAATTTCTAGCTAAGAAAATGTCACATGAATTTTATCATTTGAACTTGCATGACATTATTGCTTACCACCTTTTCATTTGCAACTATGGTTAAGGATGTTCGCGTGTCATATTTTGGAATTTTTGTCAGATTTTCTGAATCCACTGGTTTTATCCATTCATATGCATTAAATTTTTTGGCCCATTGACCCTCATTTTTCTTTTTATAAATCTTTTACATGTATAATATAAGCCATCTGTAAAAGTCTTACAAAATCTTTGTTATTTTTTAATAGTTTTTGAGAGCTCAAGAGAAAGCATTTTCCCGCCAAAATTTCAATGGCTAATATCTCGAAAACAAGCACATTGACCTATATATTTTTTTTGCTCTTTTGGTTCCTTTATTTATCCCCTTTCAATATACACTAGTGTTATGAAAAGCTTGTTATTTTGAAACTGGGTAGCGAACTTCCTTAAGTTATTTAAGGTTACAAATAAAAAATTAAATAGAAGAAATTTGGTCACAACACAAAAAAATTATTTTACTTTTACTGTGATTTAGGTTACAACAACTGACATGCATCATTATATGTGTTGAACATCCGCAGACAGGTTTGTGCTATACTCTACAATAATGCAGTAACACACATTGTTTGCAAAGAAATAGCATGATAAGAATCTTTATTTTAATCTAATGAAAAACTTAAGTTGAAATGTGTGTACTAGGAACTACTCTGATTTCTACACATCCATTTATTCCATTATATGTTAAAGGTTGTATGACAAAAGTCAAAATATTATGATATTGGACTAAATGTCAAAATTAAGGTGCATTTTGGCTGCTGAATCCTAATTATATCTGGGTTGCCCACACAACTTCGTCATTATAACAAGACAATATAAAATTGTCATACAAATCATAGGCTTAGCTAGCTATAAAACCAGGTTTAACCCACCACTTTCTTCAGAAAATGTTTGTAACAAGTCAGGAATTTAACAGTTTTTTGCAGTGTTCTGTTGGTTTATAAAGTGGAGCGTTTGGTTTTGTCAAATTTTATGGTATTCCTCATTTTTAACGAGCATGCGACTTCTGTCGCAGAAAGCTCGATATAGGGATAGTGATCCGGCGGCGTAAACATACTTATTAAAAGCTTAATATTTCAGAAGGTAGAAGACCTGGATCCTCCATACTTTGTATATAGATGCCTTATGTTATGAAGATTCCGTCTATCATAAATTATGTCCATTGTCCTTGATCTTATTTTCTTTGTTCAGTGACTACTTGAAAAAAAAGTTAAGATTTTTTAGTATTTTTAATTTCTCTCTTATTATGAGTAATAGGATAACTATATTGAGTATGTGCGTACCTTGCAAGGTCTGCATGCCTGTCAAACAGTTTTCACTTGACCTCATTTCATGGATCAGTGAACAAGATTAAGTTTTTTTGGTCAAGTCTATATCTCAGATACAATAAGCAATAGGTCTACTATATTCGGTGTATGGAATGATGGTAAGGTGTACATGTCTAACTGGCAGGTGTCATCTGACCTTGACCTCATTTTCATTGTTCAGTGGTTAAAGTTAAGTTTTTGTGTTTTGGTATGTTTTTCTAATACTGTATGCAATAGATCAACTATATTTAGTGTATGAAAATATTTTACGATGTACATATCAGTCTGGCATGTTTTATTTGCCCTTGACATTATTTTTAGGGTTCATTCTCAATGTTATTTTTTTTTTTTTTTTTGTCTGTTTTTCTTATACTATTAGCAATAGGTCATCTACATTTGGTGTATGGAATGATTGTAAAGTGTATATGTCTGTCTGGCAATTATCATCTGACCATGACCTCATTTTCATGGTTCATTGGTCAATCTTAGGTCTTCCTGGATAAGTTTGTTTCTTAGATACTGTATGCAATAGTGCAACTATATTTAAAGCATGTAATGATTGTAAGGTGTACATGTCCGTCTGGCAGGCTTCATCTGACCTTGCCTGCAATTTCATGGTTCATTGGTCAATCTTAAGTTTTTCTGATTATGTTTGTTTCTTAGATACTATGTGCAATAGGTCAACTATATTTTAAGCATATTTGGTGTATGGAATGATTGTAAGGTGTACATGTATTTCCAGATGAGTTTATCTGACCTTGACCTCATTTTCTTGGATCATGTTAAGTTTATGTGATAGTTGTAGTAAAGCTTTGTATTTTGGACTATCGACATAAAATCAATGGTTATTAAAGAAGGCTAGACATTTCATTGTGTGCACTATTGTTGATTTACCTTGGAGTTTAGTTTTATAAATACAATTTTAAGATAACATGAAATAAAATACTTTATGTTTGTTGTTGCAATAAGAAGAACAACTTAATAAACTTTATATGCCAGGACTTAAGGGTGTGGAATATTTGTTTACTTTCGTCATGTGAACATTTTATGAGTGTACATACAAGTTTATCTAGATTCAGTAAAGTTTTATGTTGTCCCTTTTTCAGAATAAAAATATTAGTCTTTTACTTATTAACGATCCTTTCATCTTCAGCATTTGACGCACTGTAAGCTTAACATGAATTTCTGGAAGTTTTTTTTTTAATTTAATTTCTTAAAATGTCATTAGCTGTCAAATTCATGTTCACCAATTTGTTTGAAATTTTCATATTTGAATTATAACATACTAAAATGTAAATCCAAATCATAAAGATTCTAAAATAAACAATTTGCGATGCATGGAATCGATAATATGTTTCAGCATTTCGTGTGTATTTTAGACTATATGCCATCTAATTCACCATGGAGGTGACATCAGAAGACTTTAAATGGCATTAAAACTTGACATAAACATAAATATAGATAAAAATAGATAGCGAACACGTGCAAATGAATTTTTCTAGGTCTGTTTGCTTTTATGTAATAGATTAAAAAATGTGTTAATCATCGTTTTTACCTGTATGAGAATGAGTTTTTGTGGATTCAATCAGTTTGCTAAATTGTTAACCCTTGTTTCACTTTCAATGTTGACATTCTTTTCCTTTTAACACGCCTAGTTTATGCGTAACCCATCTCTAGCTAAGGGTTTAAATTGAAGGTCGCATGAATACAGACTCATTGAGTTTGAATTTTTCACTTGCAAGTGAATTATTATTTCGCCATTTCACTTTCATTAATGATTGAACAAAATTATATAATTTCCATGTATCCGATCAATGGCAAATACTACTTGCATTTCGATGTTATTCTTGGGATAAGCTTAGACATAGTTGAAAAAAAAGAAAATAAGCATGAGATAAAAAGAAGCATTGATTCTATTTGGGATAATAAGATTTAAAATCTAAAAGAAAATCAAAATCTAAAATTATTATGATAAGTTGTAGAAATAATAACTTCTACGACTTTATACTTGATAATGTCCACATTCTGTTGACCAAATCTCCACAAGGATTCTCAACCCTTACATTGTAAGTAATTTCAAAATTAGAATTAGTACTTGCATTTCGATGTTATTCTTGGGATAAGCTTAGACATAGTTGAAAAAAAAGAAAATAAGCATGAGATAAAAAGAAGCATTGATTCTATTTGGGATAATAAGATTTAAAATCTAAAAGAAAATCAAAATCTAAAATTATTATGATAAGTTATAGAAATAATAACTTCTACGACTTTATACTTGATAATGTCCACATTCTGTTGACCAAATCTCCACAAGGATTCTCAACCCTTACATTGTAAGTAATTTCAATATTAGAATTAGTAAAATTCAAAATAAAAAATACTGCCAGAAGACTTTGTGCCCATTGGGCTAACATAACTTTATATAGTCTTAATCTTCTATTGCATAAATGTTCTCTGAGAATGGCGTCCATAGCAGAGATCTCTACTGAGGTTTTCGATTTGAATAGCTCTAAATTTCATTTCTTGAGCCAGTGCTGTGCAGTCTATAATTATTTGGATAAATAATTTCTGATGTCCTTGGAATATTTTATTTCAATCGTTGTATACTACAGAATGTATGATGAACCTGAGAAAAAGTGTTCTAATTCCTGATGACACAGAGTAGTTTGTACTTTCTTATTTCCTTTTGAATTTCTGTTTGCTGAAGTTCTTATTGTGGAATTCTATTTTTGTTTAATTCAAATGTAGTATTTCCAGGCCATACAATAATCTGAGAAGAACGTGCGCTTGATAGATCTTGTATGCTGTTTTTGATTCAGCCATGCTGGATCTATGCGATCACTCTGGTGCAGAATACTAAGTTGAAACTAATTATGTGTTTTTATGACTTGCAGAAACTTTCTACACCATTTTAATCATCAACTGCCAACTTTTGACATGTTATTTGCCCTTAAATTAAGAAAAGATTGGTCGAACAACCCTGCATATAGTTCCTTTGTAAATCAAAATTTATAATGATTTACTATTTATGAAATAAATTGAAAAAGTATGTTTTACATCAATTGAATCAGTTGATAACAATTTTGAAAGTATTATATTATTATCTTATGCTTGTGTAAGTTTTTGGTCTATAAAATTTAGGTCAATATGTGTGTTAATATATCTAGGTTGATTCCCACACTTTTTTGAAATGGTATTACTTTAATTCTTTCCATAAGCAAGTAAGAGTCAGTATGATTATAAACTCTCATGATTTTTCAAATAATTACACTCAAAGATGTAAGTATTAATTGGAAACAACCCCAGTCTTAATTCACCACAATTAATATCTCATGACCTGTTACATAATTAAATAGGCACAATTTATTACACACCTAACTGAATACACACATTCTTGACCTCAATAGTAAACCTACAAATGTATTATTTATTTTGATCTACACTACATTAAAATATTCTGTTAATTTTGCTAGCTAGCTGAATGATTAATCAGACATGGTTTTTTTTTCATAGAAATGACAAAAAATGTAAAAATATGTATAAAAATGCAAGCAAATTTTATTTCACTTGTAAAATCAGTGTCATTATCATCAGTCAATAATCAAGATCTAATTAATTAGTTACAGTTATCAGAAATTTGGTTGAAACAATTAACAAAATTGCTTAACTCTTACCTGAGCATTTTCTGCAATAACATTTATTTGTTTGTTCTACATTAATATCCCATTATATTGCTATTTAACAGTAATTGGAAATATCTCAGCATTAGGTATTTGTACATTTAAATTTGAATACAGGAAATGTATTTTTTCTAAATGAAAAATGAACACCAATTTAGATAAAAATTAGTTATTATTTTTGTTCTTTTTTGTTGTTGAGAAAGTGCATTTCCAAGGCATCTTTCTGGAAATTATTAAGCCAGTTATTATTAATAGCATATAAAATATTACTTGTTTGACGATTTCCCTTTCCATTCATGTCAATGCCATTAAATTACAAATATTTTTTTTTTAAATCTGACAGAGTCTAAAATTGAAATATCAATATATATATATATCATTATTTGCATCAATATTGCAAAATTCCCTACCTGTGGGCAATAACAGAAATTTAACAGTAAGATTGGAATTGAAAAGAGAAATAAATATTGAAAAAAGTATGGTCAGAAAGAATATCATAGCTATGAATATGGCTGGATCACAACATCGACGATGCTTTGATTGGGTTAAGTCCCACTGGAGTTAAAGATTACAGAGTCTTTCTTGCAATACTCAAACGTTCTTGTATATTTATTCTTGATCGTCTTTAGATGCTCGTATGATTCCTAAATGTGTCGCTTGGTTGTCAGTAACTGAGTTTGTATTGCTTCATTTCCTATTCTGATATTTTCCGATTGAACTTTTGACTTGACCCTTTCAGTCTTTATAAGAGTACTTTTTTTTCGGATGGATATTATACCTGTATTCAAAAGGATATTTGTATGCAATATCAGGAATTGCTTGAATCTCTGTTTCGTCTGTTGACATCAGTACAATATCATCTGCACATAATGGACAGCCACAATATTCTAGTCCTAATGTTAGTCCTAGGTCTCCTTTCTCTAATTCCATTGGTAGTTCATTAATCATATGACTTGTAGAAATGGGTGGATGGGACACATATTTTTTAGTTTTTCTGGTTTGGTTCATTTTTCTGAGACTATAACATGTATATGTAACAGGGCCAATGTATTAGGTGTATTGAATAATTGTAAGGTGTACATGTCTGTCTGGCAGGTTTCATTTTACCTTGACCTCATTTCATGGATCATTGATAATGAGAAATACATGTGATACTTTTAGTAAAACCTTCATATTACAGAATTTCAACATGAATTCAATCAAGGTATTAAAGTAAAGCAGGTGATATATTTCAGCGTGTACTCTCTTGTATATTTTATTTCATAATTAACTATGTTTTGTTGTTTGTACTATCTATCGATTCATAATGCATATTTAAGTAGTTGTTCGTCTAATGAGAATACGAAATATCATAGAGCTCAATCGTTCCGTTCACACAGCCAACGGTCATTGAGTTCGTTATCGCGTTGAAATGAAGCCCCCATGGTTTCTTTGTATCACTAATTTGTAAATGTCTACAACGTTGTCCATCTGGAGAAAGCAATGCAATGGAGTTACCATTATATTTTGCAATATATACTATGCCATTATTATCAACAGTGATGCCACGTGCCACGCCCTTACTTTGTTGAAGTATGTGTTCCCATAACATCTCTCCCTTCATTGTATAACACCTGACAAAATAATTGGACGTTGTTTGATAAACTTTGTCATCGTGTATTGCTAGATATGACCAATTTTCCGGCTCTCTTTGTTTAACTAGATCAGTGATTTGCCCGTTTGATAACTGTATCATTTGAATTCCTTTTGAAATAACACTACAAAGCAATTTTCCATTGTAGTACCGTATTCCGTAACAAATTCCGTGAAAACTAATTACTCTTTCGGTCAGCTTAGAATCAAGGTTAATGATTTCTATTGCGTTAATTGTAGATGCAGCGACTGTAATGTCATCAACAAAGGTGATATCGTTATAGCTATTCAAACCTTTTTTAATAAAATCATAGGTTCCGCAAGAATTCATGATACCAAGTCTTTGAGAAGTGTCCGACAACACAATAAATCCACTTGGTGATACCGTGAAGCCACGAAAGCTAGATTGTGATATGGCGGGAAAAGGTAATTTTGATCTGAGAGAAATGCTAATAGTATCTATTGACTTCGGGTGATGTGGTATAGCAGATAAAATCTGAGCTTGTATCTTCTTCTTTGATTTATAAATGATTGCTGGTTGTGATGTCTCTATAGACACTGATCCAAAGACTGTAATGGTGGTCAATATATCTGATATCTTTTCACTTATGTCGCATTTTAGTTCGTTTTGGTAGAGACTACCGTCTTGAAACAACGGCTCCAAATATTTGTTTTCTGTCTCTACTTCCATCTCAAGCGATTTACTCCCAAGAAATATCTGGAGGTCGGACGCATAATCTTTTAGAGCTGATATGTTAGTTTGCAAAGTCTCTACACTCTTTTGTTTGTAAGTTGCGACATTAACGTGTTTAGCTTTGACTTGATTTCTGTTTCAGCTGCATTCAATTTCAGCAACATTTGTTCTTCTAATGAATCGAGATGGGAATTTACTTTTTGACGTATTTGTTTTATTTCAGTGTGAAACAGTTTTCTTTGTGTTTCAATGGCAGTCAAATTTTGTTCTCTATCTTTCATTATGTTGTCAATGTTAGACATCATATCCTTTAAACTTTGTTCAATGCTTTCTAGCAAAGCTGATGCTTTGAAGGTTTTTACGATCTCTTGCAAAGACTTTAATCCACAGCAATTCTTATGGTATTCTGAAATACAAACTGAGCAACAGATTTTGTCGTCTTGTGGACAGTAGTTTTGATATTTTAAATTATGTTCATAGCAATATGTGGCTATTTTTGAAATTGATGACTGCAATTTTAGATAATTTTCAATAGAAATAATTTCGTGGTTTCGAGTGGCTTTTGCGAAACTGTGATGTTCTTTACATTCGGAACACATCCCTTCTTCACACTCGGGACACCAAAAGTTGGCTGATTTTGTAATATGCTGAGCTTCACATATTTCACAAACCACTCCACTAGAAGTTGCCATTCTGAAATATTCCAAAATTAAAACAAATTAAAACAGGATCAAATAAACTTTTGTTATTAATTATGTTCATGTTGCGCATGTTCTTGTGTAGTTTGCATTGTACATATGCCAGTACGTTTTGCAATTGCCCACGATCAGCAGTACTCAAATAAACATTTGTTATTAGTGTAGATTATGTTGCACTTGTTCTGCTTATATATTTTGTATTTGAATATATATATCTGTACTTTTTGCAATTGTGCACGCTCAGCAGTACTCAAACGAATCATTTTTCTGATGTGTACCCTTTAGTACATGGTCTGGTTTTATCCGTTGAAAATATTACTCCTACTCAGGCTTTTTTTACTCATTCACCATTAGCATTTTACCATGGCAAAGTTTTAGTTTAGATTTCAATGACCAAGGCCCATGAATATGTGGAAAATTGAGGTGACAGTAGTTTACCGATGTTCAAATCTGGTATATATGGTAAATCGATTGGAGAGGAACGAATCAAGACAACAAACAAAACTGATAGAATCGCATGAACTTCAAAAGGGCAGGGTAAATGCTGTGTCTATGCATGCATTACCCGTCATGCGAATTCACACTCGGTTAAAATTTCACATTCGAGACGATCTTACTAGTACCTAAAGATCTAAAACCGCGAAAATATGTCGCTAGTTAGTTGTGACACCGACAGATCGTGTCGGTCAACCAATCGTGATGTTGGCCGTTAAACTTATATAATATCGATTTAAGTCGTCTTCCTCTTTACTATTTTGTAGCAGTTTCTTGTATAAGCAGCACATCCATGTTACTGACGATGAAGTCCGAATAGTGTTAATATGAACGAGTGTAACCTATTAATTTATGTATTCAAACGCCATACGATGGAGTAGAGGATATGTTTCTGCTAAGAAATAGGAAGTTTACAATTGAAAAATGTAAATCATCATGTGTGTCATAGATTTTTGTTTGAAGTCGTCCTTCTGTGTTAATATCGAAGAAATGGTCAAGATATGAAGCAAATCTTTTTTTTAGTAGTATTTGAAAAGTAAGCATTCATGAAATGGTGATTTTTTCAGTGACAGAAAAGTCGGGAATTTAATGAAATCATCTTATATAAGACCGTTGTTTTTATATTCTGTATTTTTCATTGCTTGTCTAATGATATGGACCTGTGTCCATAGTCGAAGAAGTTAATGCTGCGCTCACATTCGAATTCGATTCGCATTAGCTTATTCGAATTAGTATAATTCGCATTTGAAACGGATTACGTCCCAACGTAAATTTTAGTACGAATGGCAATGCGCGTTAAATTCGCTTTACTGTTCGAACGACGTTAAGTTTTAATTCGCATTATCAATTAATTAATTATAATCTAATTCGAATTACAATTTAAAAAGTGACCACACCACAGTATTATTCGAATTGAGGTAAATGTGAATTACTGATACCGGGTCCCTTAATCTGCACAACAATTTCGCTTAAATTGCAGTTTATATCTTATCAAAAAAATTGTTCCTGTTACATGTTTCACCTTTTACGTTTTATCTTTTGAAACAGAATAATTTACAAAACAAAGATCCTTCTAATAAAGTTTATCAATTATCCTTGTAGAATATGGGACAAACAGACAGACTGGAAACTCAGAACTTTATTGTCTCAAAAAATAATGATATAAAAAGGTTGTTTTAGATATTTTGAAAAGTTGAAACATAGGTATAATATTTTTGTCCTCTAAGAGTTGCTTATTGATTTTGAAAACAATTATCATGATTATATGACACTGAAGATTAAAAGTTGTAGAGTGAATTTAAATTCAATTCATAATTTAATATGTTCCAGAAAAGGGCATTGAAAATATACTTTTTCAATATAAACTAATTAACAAAACTTATTTTATTGAAACGGGGAATCATTCAAAAATTTGTTAAAATACACTTCTTGTATTAAAATGACTAAAATTGTTTACAGACATTTGGTGGGGAATAAACTAAATAAAAAATATTGGTTTGCTTGGGTTAATAGTATATCCCTGCATTAATTCTATATATTTCATAAATGTGTTACATTCACAACTGGTTTTATTCAAAGAAGCGATACAAGGAAGTGAAATGTACAAAGTCCAATCACAGGTAGCGACACCTGGTTGAAAAATGTGTTTATATTTATACATATTCATATTGAATATATGATCTAGCACTATCGTATTTTTATTTTTTTATTTATAAATTGAAGAAAAACACATGTATAGGTGTATATATATGCTTCAGAATACAGATTATGGAATCCTAAAATTGAATTGAAAGTGTTCTTATATAATTCAATGATAAAGATAAAATTTGAGAAAAAGACGAGTGTACCTTTGAACCTTTCTAAAAAGGTAGGAGTGTTTCGAAGTATCATAAATTTACGTCAGCTTTTGTTTTTGCATTAGCGTGATTTTTTTCTGGGGAAAAGTTTTGATTTCTATATTCAATATGTATCTTTTTCAATACTTTTATTTACCGTAGTTTTCAGTTTTATTACAGCACCGGGCAGTAATCTGACACAAAGTGAGATCTAATAGGGAACAGGCGATTGAAGAAAAAAAATCGATCGCCATCCGTCTGAGGGTCACGAATGAGGGACTGTGAAACATGTGAAAGGAAAATAAGATAGTTTAGAACAAAACATTATGCATTTGTGCAAAAAGGTTCCATTCATATCTCGTTGATAAGACAAGCACGATAGTGTTTATTCTGGAATATTTTTACTTTCTCTATATTGATATAAATTGTTTCATGCAGTCAAAAACCATTGATTTCATCAATTTTATCGTCACATAGCGGGAGTAACATATTGGTTGATGTTTTAAATTTGAATTAGCTATGTTCCGAGAGTTATACTGAAATATTTTGCTATTTTTAAGATTGGTGATTTCAATTCTAAATAATTTTGAAATGAGATAATTTTGATTTTGAGAGACAGTGATTTTTTTTACATCTGGAACACACGCCTTCTTCAAAACGGGGACTCCTATAAATGGCAGATTTTGTGATATGTTAGTCTGCACATTTTCCACAAAACATATTACCAAACGTCTCACCGTACTGTTCTAAATTATTTCACAATCAAAAATGGTTTACAATTATTTTTTCTTTCCTCTAAGTTGCGTGTATGCGTGCTTTTGTTCTTTGTTCATGTAATAAAATATTTTATGTGCACAATTACACTTTTAATTTGTCATGTCTATACCTCTCATTTCATATGACAATTGTTTGTATCTATTACTATTTATTCTTTATCAGGGGCAATACAGGTTTACTGATGTTCAAATCTTACGTTATCACAGCCACTGGATGGGTCGATACTTCTGCTGATAAACATCTATTCCCTAATACCTAATAAAATATTGTTTTTGCAAACCTGTATAAATAGTTACATGTTTAAACATTAATAAATATCAACCTCAATCAGACGTCTTTTTTCCTTTGTATTCTAACAGGCCAAAATGTTTAGAAAAAGGAATATTTTGTTCGCGATTTTTTCAGTGTTGAAAACCATGAAACCGACCTTTCTGAATACCTCGACACTTAGCACATTCATTGGTCACGTGACTTACATCATACAAGTGTATTATATGTAGTCAAAGAATGACGCGAATATTTCGCGCCAATTTCTCTTATTCATTCTCGGTTTCTACTTACCACCAATTTGAATAAATACTGATCTGGCTTTAAGGTTTCAACTATATTAATGAAATCAGCATTGTCAGTGCATTTTGACTCGGACGCCATGTACCTCCACATAAACTTGCAAACTCTACCTGAATTTTGGTATAATCGGAAACTTAATTTTATCGGCCTTTCGCACTTTCACATATGTATAACAAAATAATAATTCATGCACAAATGAATGAAAACTATATAGATACTCAATGAACCATAATTCACAAATTTGAAAAATAATAACGCAACAAATTAAACGAAAGTATATTAAACCGTGACTACACATTTCAGGTGGCTTTTACATTCTGAGCAATTTCTCTTATATTGATTGCATCTTTCCCTTCCAACATTATCTTCTGACAAAAACTTATCTCTGCCTCATTTCAGCATACAAAATCGTGGTTAAAATTTAAAATCTTTACTTTTCTTTACAAAACAAAACTGGCGTTCGCTAGCATTCAGTGCAATTGCGAGAATGTCGGCTTATCTAAACGCATGTGCAGAGATCACATGCACCTTATCCTCATTGGTCAATAAGATATTATTAACAAATCATACTGGTAATTTATCTTGACCCTGATCGCGAGATGTCCATACTGACCTTAACTGCCTGTAATCAAAAAGTTACATAATTCTCAGACAACCCCATGCAAATTTACTGTTTCATATTACTCTTGAAAAGAATAATTTCCTGACAATAATGTTTTTATGTACCATAAAATGATTTTATGATCAAAATACAGTATCCAGAGCAAAATTTTGAAACTATTAATTCATTTTCATTTTTTTTTCGTATTTTACTGATAAATGGACTTAATTTTTTAACAGTTATTAGTCAGGCTAAGTATTATATCTACGGTAAGGCTCACTCTGAGGTTAAAGTTTTTCAGTCAACAATAATATTGTCAAACATTCATGAAATTTCATGAAATTTGGACAAAACTTGAAAAATTACCAGCATCCAGAGCAACATTTTGAAAATATTTATTTTCATTTTGTCGAATTTTACCAATAAATAGTGTTTTTTACAGTTTACAAGTAATTACGTTTTGGGGTTAAAGTTTTTACACATCAATTACTTTGTCAAACCTTCATAGAATTTTATGAAACTTTGGCAGAAGCTTTTTATGATTAAGAGTTAATGTCTGAAGCAAACTTTTGAAAATAGATGTTTTTCATTTTCAGTATTTTTCTGATAGATGGACTTAGTTTTTTACAGTTTACATTTACATACAGTCTGGGATTAGATTTGTTTGACATTCAACATTTGTTAACCTTCATGGATTGTTATGCAACTTGGACAGAA